CGAAGACGAATTGTGGAGATCAGCCAGCTTGTATAATACATATTACAACCAACTTAACTATAACGAAAATAAGATATGGAGGCAAAAAGAAAAACGCTGCCAGATGGCTACAAGAAGAAAACGGCTGTGTTGGGTGTGAATGTAAGGTGCAAATTTTGTCCAGGAAGCCAACTCGAACAAAAAATGAAAGTAAAGGTATCGTGACAAGAAATGAAGCCAGCAAGTAGCAGAGAAATTGGACGAGAAAAAAGGATTAGAAAAAAGAGTGCTGTCGAACCAAGTTCAAAAGAGACCGACTAGTGATGTTGTTCAATCGAATAACACATTGAGGAGGTAAGGGGAATGTTATTTTCCTTATAACATTTCGCATGGCGTAGTTAAACCCAATGGATCGACTCTCAAATCTCTAGAAAAAGGAGGCGGGGGGAGTCTTAAGAAAGGACTTTGATCATCTTCTTAGCCCGTCGAGTATCTTGAACAAGGAAGTTCCGTTCCTTGAGGGCCAACCTAAGCGTCTGGACCACTTTGTAGAATGACGACGATGCTCCCTGGTCCTGGCGAAGGCGAATTAGACTGAGGTTTGCATGACAGCCATGCTCAAGGACGGAGAAGAACTCGGCCGAAAACTGAACTGGTCGAAGGCGGAGGACTAAAATTGATGAATTGTCAGTTTCTCGAAAGTGAAAAAATTATTTCCACCCCATGATGCCCACCCGGATAGTGATAAAAAAATATGCTTAATTAAAGTTGCAGAAGTTTGTGTTTCTTTCGACTTACAGTTCAGTTCCCCCACGGATCCGCAGATAATGTCATTCTGGTTATCAAGGTGGAGACCCTCAAGACCGTATTTTTTCCACTCTTTAAATATCCTGACAACTTCCTTCTTTGCACGTGGCTTGGAAACGTTTAGCGCAAGCACCTTGAAGGCAGGCTTCATGAACATGAACCTGGAAAACCAATTGTTGGTATAGCTAGCGGTGGTCAGTGGTATATCATCGCTATTTTTGCGCATGGGGGTTGTTGCAGCTGTACTATCATCATCTAGCTCAACACCACTATCGTTTGGCTTGCTGTCAACATCACTAATGGTACTCGTAACATCAGTTTCGTCAAGATCTTCAGTAAGCTTGTGGATGCGGCCTGGAACTTTCTTTCTCCTGAAGAGTTTCTTTAGTCGAAGCCCACCGGCCGTTGCTCCTAAATCTCTGAAGTGTTGTTCAATATTGCTAAAGGCAGACTTTCTCCTCTCCTCTTGCATTCGATCAAGGAGATCTGTAAATGGCTTATCTCTAGATGCCTCAGTATCAGTGGTATCACTGCTGTTCTGACGGGACTTCAACCAAGTCCGCTTTTTAGCTTCATCCGAGTTACGAGCTGCGCTGCTTCTAGCAGAGTTCGGGTTTTCGTCAATGGAATCCAGACCAGAGTCATGCCTAACTACCGTATCCCGAGGAGATGAGATATTGTCCTGGTTGCGTCCAGACGCAAGGTATCCTGAAAAATCAAAAGATTTAAACTCACAGTCCAACGAAGACAATTCTCCTGTTTGCTTCTTTTGGAGGGTCAACGATTTGACACTGTCTAGATCGTTTTTCAAAGAGTCACTCTTCACAACACGAATTGACTTCTTGGTTTCCCAATTATCCAGGCCCAAGTCCAATGGTTTAGTTGGTTCTGGTGGTGAGAGGAAGGACTTCGATTCAGTCTCAAAATAATTTTCTTCGGATATAACTGGGAGGCGTCCGGTTGACTCTCGGGCTACCAAAGTCTGCTTTGTCATTGATTTGCTCCCAGAACTCGCAGTCTCTCCGTCAATAAGACGGTCCAGGTGAGCAATAACATTTTTGAGATAGTCTGGTAGTCCATTAACACCAGCCTGTGCTGAATGTTCTATAAGACGACGCCGAGCCTCGGCCAACTCCAGGGCAGCATATGTACGGGGCGATTCCTGTGGCTGTTTAGGTAGTAAATCCTTTATGGCTTCAACCTTGGGCTCCGGTTCTCCATTGCTGGATATGGAGGACATTGAAGAAGTGTCTGATGCCCCTTTGCTTTCGGAGTAGCCCTTTGTGGCTGACGAAGAGTCAGATACCTGGTTGAATGCTTCTTCACATAGCTTTTCAAGTTCAGCTGACACCTTTCTCGCGTCTTCTCTCCATGATAACCTAGCCTTGGATATTGCCACGCTATCCCTTTTTGCGGGGTCACGTTTGCGAGCCATCAATGGCGGTGTAGGTATGGTAGGTGAGTCTGCATGATTGGGAAATTGTCCCTGAAGTTTTGTTGCAGTCTGCGCTTTTGCGGTTTGCGCTGCGGCTGGCTTGTTTGGGCAGAGCGAATATTGTGAGACTGAAGTAGAAGCCCGTTTTCTGACAGGAGTATGGCTGCCTGACAAGTTGTGAAGATGTCGGAAGCTAACATTCCGTCGATATCTAATGTGTTTCGAACCCGTTGTGCGGCATCGAGAACTTCCTAGGGAACTATATGATCGAAACGATGCCAAAGAGGTCTTCTGGGAACTAAATCCTTGGATAAAAGTGTACGATGAGGGGGGCCCGGTTGTCAGACCAGGAGGATTCGGCGATGGTGGCGGGACAGTCCCTGTCGTGCGAGTTGGCCGTCTATGAATTGTAACATTGGCAAACTCTGCTCGCGGGTTTGGAGTTGGCGTCTGTGAGGATCGGTAGGGATCATAAGTTGATATGGTGCCTAGAGACGACGGCTCTCGGTAAGTACCATCTTTAAGAAAACCTCCGCCCACAAGGGAGAATCTAGAGCCTTTCCATGACTGAGATGGTGTGAATAAACCCTGGATGTGAGCTGCTGGAGCATGATGATAGTCACTGCTGGAGTGTTTGAGTGGCAATTCGCCAGAGGCCTCTAGTTGTGCCTCCCGGAACTTTTGCAAGGTCCGATAGAATACTTTCTCAAGGCTGCCTCTATTAATTGTTACGAGTTAGAAAGATAGCAGTCATGCCATGTGAGAATTGGGCAACACTTACTCTTCGCCAAGGAGTTTTTTAATCAACTCCTCTGAATCGACAGCATGCCAAAGTGTTTGAAGGTGTCGTAATATCTCCACGTTGATGTCCTGTCGCTTATTAGCGACTTTACTGTACATCCCCAAAGGCAGAGGCGGCGCAAGACCAATAGCAAGCCCACTCTTTAAGAGAGGATGGTTTTCATATTTTTTCAAAAGAGGATGCTCCCACATGTCAGTAAGGGTTATCCTATTCTCTGGATCCTTCTGAAGGATGCTTTGAACCAGATCTATAGCCTCTTCGCTCATCCAGGGCGGAAGCATGTATTCTCCTTTTTTAACAAGCTTGAGTGTGCTTCGCAGGTCACCCCCGTCAAATGGTAGAAATCCACATAAAAGAGCGTAAAGTATGATCCCGCAGCTCCAAATATCAGCTTTATCGCCGCGGTATGGCTTTCCATAGATAATCTCGGGCGAGGCATAATGAGGGCTGCCACATGAAGTATTTAACATGTGGCCTTCGGGCTGTAGGGCTGCCATTCCAAAGTCAGCTAGCTTAACGTTGAATGAACCGTCAAGCAGGATATTTTCAGGTTTGAGATCTCTGTGGCAGATATTAAATCTATGACAGTAAGACACGGCCGAGATTATCTGTCTGAAGAGTCGCACAACCTCAATCTCAGGAAGCGGTCCATGTTCAGAAATATATTCGAATAACTCCCCTCCCTCCACATACTCGAGAACGAGGTACCTTTACAACCAAAATTAGACGCAGAAAGAATATATGGGGGTAGATAAGAAATTAGCTTACAGTTCGCCTCTATTTTCCCATACATCGAAGAGACCAATTACGTTTGGATGCTGGATGAGTTTCATAATAACCACCTCCCTTTCAATTCCACAGGGAATAGCTCTAGACTCCTTAGTGAGTCCTGGGATTCTCGATACCTTATCCATAACCATAATGCTCTGGCTTTGAACCATAGTTGCAAAACGCTTCGAGACGATCTTGATGGCTGCAGATTGGCCAGTTACAGCATGCTTTGCAAGCCGCACCCGTCCTGTCGATCCTTTGCCAAGCGTCCTCCCCAGCTGCCATGGCCCAATGTGAGTCTTGCGTCGAGACTTTGTAGATGTGGTTGAGGCGGTGGAGATCGTCGAGTTACGGTTTGAGTTCGGCTGGCTCTCGAGAATGGCTGATATTCGTTTATTTTCGACATGCATCAACGTGGTTTCCGTACTCTCGTTAGACTTAGAATCTGGCCCGTCAAAATTGAGCTTTTCGAAAGACGGAGAGAGTGTAATATGACGCGACCGTTGCAGGTTAGGGTGGGCCATATTTGCGCGGTTCTGTGCATCACCAAAAGGTGGCCTTGGCTGCTGGCTACGGCTGCTCGCTGAGTCGACCTCCATGGAGCTGGAAAGCTGGTGTTAGCAGAATCGCGTAGTTGTGAGGGAGTGATGGAGAAGCATTTATCAGGGTGTTTGAAATCAAATTTTTGGGAGCCCGAAATCTTTCGTGGTTGTAAACACAAACTTGCAGTTATCACGCGTGACTCTGGTAAGTAGTGTGTGAAGAGGAATGGGCACGCTTCCTATATCAACGCGCCAGTTGAACTGGCACCTCATAAGAAGCAGGCATCAAACTGCAAAAGCCTGGTAGAATGCTGTATTCCACCCTTAGTGAAACAAGATGATACTAAACTGCTAATATAGACAGTTGCTAGATAATTTGGTATGGGGGTATGGCAGGATCGGTTAAGGATGAAGAGGGTAAGTAAATTAAAGTGTATACACAGGCTTGAAGCTAGAATAAATAATCTGACTCACGATGTTGACACTCGCAAGGTAGCAACCCTGGAACTCGTTTTTAAAGAGAACCAGTTGAGGGTCAAAGCACTGTGAAAGGGTTTAATGATGCGAGAATATTTCAACGGAGAATTTCAAACAAACGGCCAGCAGGACGTTTGGAAAACTGAAATTAAAAAACAAAATAAATAAAAATAAAAAAAACTTATTAGGAAGCCCACGAGGAACGAGATCCCAATGGAGTGTATGCCTAAAAAGGGAACAAGAAAATGCAGTATTCTGCAGTTTAAAGATGGAAGAGATGGCTCCGGTTCCAAGAAGTGATATATAACTATCGTTACTCCTCGCTTTCACTCCTAATCGTCATGTATGAGCGGTAGACAAATCATGTGCAGAAGTCTGCAGGGCCCCAATGGTAGTACATAAATAAGAATCCAGAGATAGCTATTCCAACGCTTTTAGGGAACGATAAGAAAATTGGGAAAGCGGGGGGAGTTAGAGGCAACGCGGTAAGAGACAAAGATTCGATTCAGCTATATACAAATGGCTGAATCGTGGCTGCTGTCAACAAATGAGATCTACAGAAATAAAAGAAACAGAATATCGACAAGATGCAATGCATCCTGCCATTGTCGCTCTTAGCCAACTAAGAGAGTGATTCCCAATTTTCCACGGCTGGATGGCCAGGAAAGTCCAAGCAACATCGGAATCCATGGGAGTACATGAGGAAGTGTCTGTGGCTTTCCGGTAGCACACAAGAAGTACAACGTATGCAAAGCGGAACACGAGCGTTTTTGCTTGTTCTTTGTTCGAGGGAAAACAGATGATCCTGTGGCCAAGCGTGGTGATACAGACAGGTCCAAAATCTGAACTATCTCGCAGAGCCAGGAAAAGTCGGCATTGTCCAACGCGGCAGCCTGGTTGGATAGCGCGTCGGCGTCGGACGGTGTGCCCATCTGATGGTTGCTCGTTGCTTGCTGACGTTGAGCAGAGCGTTGTCCGCGCTGGCTCGAAGCTCGAAAAGCTCGAAGCCGATGTTGTTGATAAGATGAAGTTGAAGTTGAAGTTGCCCAGAGCGGACGCAGGTACCAAGCCGGCCCGGAACTTTGATTCTCCTATCCGCTTCAGCCTCCTCCCGTTAGGTAGGTCCCCGCCCGTCCACTCCACCCCGTCCAGTTTTATTTCATTATTGCCTACTCCGTACCTATTATTTCCAAGTCCAGGGCAGCGACTTGCTGTACCCACATCCACACCCGGATATCAATATCAACAATCCCTGGTGCTTTTTCGAAGGTCAAGCTTCCCTAACCAAGTAAGTGAAGGAGAGGGTGTTTAATCAAGCTAACTAATATTATTAACTTGCTTCCTCACCTCCAAGACCTCCTCCGTTGATTCGCAGCTCCCGCTTTGCTTTTTCTTTCCTTTTCCTCACTTTTGCTTCCGCTTGCCTTGCGACGACTATGGGGGAAACTATTACATGCATCTGCAGCTCACTGGGTCCCCCAGCATCCTGGGGCTAGCTATTTCTAGCGAACATCACCTATACCTAGCTAGGGACGGGAATATCAAATGCAGGCTTCCGGGTTACGAGAATAATGAATTTGGGCTCGGAGGTCCTGCGAACAGCCTCCACTAACTTCTTAGCATAAGGGATCGCGGCAGACTATCTGGTTAGCTTACATGCTTCTTACAGCCACATTGATATATCTGGAGCAATATCTGGTACACTAGGACCTGTCAGGCTATTGCACTCTTCTTTTTAATATAAAGAGTCTGGACAAGCCGCTTCGATCGCCCTCCCCCGTATGTACTGTTGATCGACGAAGACCCTCGGTCCCGGAATTTCCGACTGTCATGCAGTGATGCAGCCGCAAACGAGGGGGCCAATTACACTCCATACCTTGCCTACGCATTCGGATGTCGACTGTAAGTTGCATTGACATGTCATCCACACCCTTTTTTCTTGTGCATGAAGTGGAAAATGTACTCCGTACTCCGTACACAGCCTGGAGGCGCTCTTCCTGCACGTAAAGAAAAGTTTCGGCCGTGCTTCCTGCATGCAATTGTCAACCATCCCGCACCCGGAGTCACTTGCCCAATCAGACATACCTCAGGTCACGTCTTCTGATGTTGTCTCTCTGTCCCAGTCCTTCAACAGGCCGGAACAGGGTGTTGCGTTTTCGGTCGGGTTCGATGATGCAGACCGTGCTAACCGATGTAGTGCAATGCATCGGGTTATCGGGGTCCTCTCTTTGCTTTACATGCTTCTTGCTCGCCTTGCTTATCAGAGCTAACGTTCGAGCCGTTCCTCCACCCCGTTTACTTGCCATCCCCCTGCCTTGATGTGCGCTGGAGCTGAGAGAAATTCAAGCTTCCTGATCAGACTAATGGCTTGGCAGGGGAGAAACCTTTTTCGCTTGATTTTTCTTGCCCTGCTGTCATGAACAAATTAGCCGTGGAGTCACCTCACTGACGATTTAGAGCAGGCTCTGTCAAAAGCCGAACTTCGAGAGCTGATCAGGCAGCATATTATCGCGCACCTGCGGATACAAACTGGTACCTGGCCGTGCAAGCTGTCTTGAAAATGCTTTGATAAAACCTGCAATATGGATAGTATTCATTCTCTACCATTCACTTTGCGCTCGGTATCTGCAAACGACACAGAGTATTGAATATTTGACCTGAATATGAAGGCATCAAGCCACGAAGACACTATACGGATGCTTGTTTTACAAACAACGTGGTTCCTCTCGTTTGTCTTACCCGAGTGTCTAACTGGTCGTGAGGTATGACCGCAATGTCGCCTCCCATGAAACAGCTCTCTGCAAGACTTCTTCTTCCCCAAATCGAGCGGTGAGAACCCGATAGGAACTGTGTTTTGATCTCAGGTTAGTCTCGCATCCGTTTGTGCATTGATATCCAGTATACGCTGCGTATAGCATGGCTACCCTCTGTAGAAGAATCATTAGCGCCGCATTGGCTTAATTTATGCAATCAGCAACACCTGCGACATCAGTATAATAGCACACACCTTCATTCCCTAACATCAGACGTTATGTCCGGTTTATTGTCGAATGCTCCTGTGTAAAGCTAACAAACGAAAAAGAGTGATCCAACTTTTAACCTTTGAGATGTGGCCAAAGTGCAAAATCTTGCTATGACTCACACCGTCTCCACTCGCCAACCAGCATCAAGGCAAAAAAAAGAGAGAGAGAGAGAGAGCGAGAGAGACCGTCTTCCAATGACGTTACTCCGAAGTCCGCTGGAGCCCTTCTCATTCCACTTACGAACCTTTTATTGCTAGTTTATCGCATGAATTTAAGCATGTTGGCGCAGCGGAAGCGCGCCGGGCTCATAACCCGGAGGACCTTGGATCGAAACCAAGACATGCTAGGATTTCTTTTTGACATCGTTTGGTGATGTCAACTAATTAATCTATTGTTACTTTTTGTTCCAGTAAGCAAGAAAAGAGCCTTGTGGTCCGTCTAACGAGGTCTCGATAAGTATTTGACGTTCCCATCTCTACACATCTCGTCTTTTCTAGGGCCGGTTGCATGGAGATTATAATGATATGTACAGAGAGTGCCTCAGAGACGGCTGGCTAACGGCCGTTTTCCAAGAGTCTCCGTCACCATGCGTTGAACATCCTCAGCTATGCCCCAGCTGGTCTCGAAACCTCTGCCGCCGATTCCATAAGCATGGACGACCGGTCTCTTGTTAGGGAGGGTCTCGACTTCCAAGCGCATTCCTCCTTCTCGTGCAGGACGTCGGCCAACAATGTCCTTGATGACATCAAAGCCTCCCTTGGAGTTGACAATGCCAGGGTACATCTTTGCAGCGTTGCGAAGAAGTTCCTCTCTGACCGCCATAGAAGCTGTAGGGTTCCAGTCACCTACCTCCTTTGTACCACCGACGACGGTCCCACCATTTAGAGGTCGAGGAACCAGAAATGTCCATGTTCCATCCGCGTTTTGCTGTGTCACCGTTTTTGTAGCAGTCTCTGCAATAAGGCACGTTTGACCTATGGTAAATTGTCAAATCTCGATCTCAGCATAGTGCAAATCAACGCAACTAAATGTTAAGTGATACCTCTAATAATGAAAGTCTTTTGATCCCCAAACCCCATTCCACTACAGTTCACCACGAGCGAGACCTTGTAGCCCTCCAGACAGAAAGCCTCTTCCACGGACTGCAGCCTCAACCGTAAGATTTTACCTCCTTTTAGGCTGAAGCGTCGTAAAAGATGGAAGCAGTAAGTGTCGGGTTCGACTATAAAGGACTCATATCTCGCGGCAAACTCAACACCCGCCGGCTTTTCGGGGCCTTCTAATAGCCGAAACCCTTCTTGCTTCACGTAATTCGGCGTCATTGCCTTATATTTCTCAGCGGCTGGCCCGGATACATACTCAATTCCTTCCAGGAATTTGATACCAAATGCCGGTTCCTCTTCAGCAAGTTTCTTGAACCGAGAGTATGTTCTCACAGCATGATCACTCTCCAGTTCTGTCTGGGTATCTGTGGCAGGAATAGGACGAAAATGTGCACCAGCATTTGTGGTTGCGTATACGGGATTTGGGGGGTCTGTTGAGAAGTGGTCTGCCACAAGTACTATCTGGTATTTGGACGTTTGGGGCTTCTCGATCAATTCCAAGGCCGACGAAAGGCCAAGGATGCCAGCTCTTTTTCATATATGAGTTCAATGCCAATGTCAACTGGGCCTTTGTATGCTGACTCACCCGATCACCACTATCGTTCCCTGTCCACGAGCCTGCATCTTGACGGGAAGTTTTAGTCTTGCTTTCTCAATGTAGAGATCTGTGTAATTACCCCGTTCTATGGGTGGATTATAATTCTGGGGAAATCTGGGGACAGCTGGTTATATATATAGCAAGGCGATCCCAACACACGAGGGTGACCGAGTGGGGCCTTTTGTATATAAAAGCCACAGCAATTTTTAGCTAACATTTTATCTCGGAGTTCTCCCCGGAGCTTCCTGTTCTGTAGATCAAGCCAAAACATGCAGAACGCCGAAGCAGTCAAAGTAATCCTCCATATAAAACGTCCTTACGAGATTCTGCCACCAGAGTAGTGTGGCCCGCACTGGCTGGCTATTATTGATGGCAGCTTCAGACACTCCTAGCCTGAGGGCCACGACTGAACCCAAAGAACGACAGATTTCTGTACTTGTGGCGAATTGAATATTGACATCGGCGCCCTTCGCACTAGTTGACCAGGGTAAGACCTAGACCGAATCAGTGAGACCACTTAATGCAGTCATACACGGGAACTATTTTGAAATCGTTATCATCTGACTAGTGTTGAAAAATCGTTTCATGGAATTGCGAAATCCACAGGAATAGAAGGATTTCATCTTCAAGGAAGTTTTGCTCGGTCAATAGAGTGTATACACCGCCATGCTCCTCTTCCTTGGCTGGCTACCTCGTACAGGGACAGTAACAACTGCTCAGAGGAAGCGTTTCGTCCCATACTTGAGCCCCCGAAGTTGTTGGTCGTTGCTCTGGTTGGTTGCCAGAAGATCAAGCCTCGGGCCTAGTTACTACCACGTGATCTAGCTACACGTGATGAATATTATGTCATCATATTTTCTAACCTCCAAGTTGATGAACTACGTCCAGGTTGCGGTCGACGGTGAAGCAGCAGCCTCGAAAGCAACGGCAATTGGCCCCTCCTCGACGAAACCAGAGGCTACTCTGTTATTATTTGTGATAATTGAAATCCTGCTGATTTCTTGTGGCCCTTTTCTGGGATCCGTGACGCATACAAGGTGAGCATATTCCTACCATGGAAAATTACAACACGGCCACTTCTCGAGAATTGTCTAGTTTGCGCAAATTGGGATCGAATACTGACCTCCAAAAGCCATGGGAGCAGGCACTTCGAAACCGGCGGACTCGGAGAAAGGGGGGAAGCATGTGTTTAGCAGGTTTGTTTTCCTTGTTGATGACGATGCGAAATCTTCATCCATCACCCACCACCCACCACCGGACATAGGCGTTAATCGCTTATTGGCAACTATGCCATTTAGGCTCTTTTACTGATAACCGATAACTGCAGTAACTCACCTGTTCAATTCTCCCAAGTCCTTGTCGAGTCGCTGCAATCAAGCTCAGAGGTAATTATACACCACCTACCCGTTTACCATATTCCAATCCGACCAAATCCACTAAGTACCGATAAAATATCCCATAAAATAGACCGATGCTTCGCGCTCCCAATCGCTAGAGCTTCATATCCAAGCCCGTGTTGCCGAGGAGCTGAACCGCATCCGTGAGCGTGAGACACAAACTCTCGCCGATATCGAAAAGAGAATAGCAGCTTCATATCCATCTGAGGGACCCGCAACAGCCAAAAGCAACATTTCTACTCTTGCTAGCCAGCCACTATCCCTCGAGTCTCCTCGAGTCCCATTTGCCGGCACCGAATTCGACCGTGTTCCGGCCACCTCTGCGCCTGCGGAAAGCAGTGATGAAGCTGCTGCAATTAATCCCAAGATGATAAGCAGCGGAAGGGTTGCTAAGGAAATTGAGGCATTGCGAGAATCACTGGCCTCCAGGCCTACGATCCGAAAACTTGACCCCGAACTTGAAACTGCAAGGGAGGGAGTTGTGAAATGCCTGCGTGATAACCAGAAGCGACCGTTAGACTGCTGGCAAGAGGTGGATACTTTCAAGCGCGAAGTTGCAAGGCTAGAAAAGGAATGGGTCCAAAAAATGATAAGCTGAGAGAGCCTGGTATGAGCCAACAATTTGGGTAGAGTATCTGAGCCTTGAGGAAGAAAAACTATATTGTAACGCCATCATTAGACAGTTTCTTAGCATGTGTACCATAGCAACAGTAGGTGGAAATGGGAGAAGTGCATAATCTACTGCGTTGCCTCTTGATATATAGCTACGATGCAGCGAGCGTAATGCAGTTCTGATATATGTACCCAGTACGTTCAGGCAACCTCCCACCGTCCTAGTCTTCCAACACTCTCCCCAGCAGCTCTAATAATACATATGTTCATGAGCCTACCTTCTTGGTGGTCTTTATCAGTTGAGGGAACACTAGACTCATCTAGGGTTCTGTGAGAAATTATCCTATTGACCAATATGGCACCAATACCCGTTCCCTTTCCTGCGGCAAGATTAAAATTGCCCGAGGTCACAAAGCCCAGCAAGTCCTCTTCCTGTGGAATTGGTAAATGTGCTTGTTCCTCAGAGTTGTTCCTTGTCCTCCTTAATGGTTTCTCTGATTGATTTAAGAGGGAAAGCCATTTTGATCGAAGCTCTAGATCTGAGGTTGGGAGACGGTATATTCGCGAACGTCGCATAGGAGTCCCTCGATTCAAGAGAGTGATGGAAACAGTTGCAAGTGCAGGCTTCTGATAGAGAGATTCCATTGAGGCAGGAAGCTGGTTTGATTTTTGCAAGTTCGATATTATGGCAGAAACAGTCAAGGGGTCAAGTTGGATGAGATCTGGAGGCATAATCAGATCCGCTTCAACTGTTTTTGATCTACCTGGTTGGTTATGTCTCTCTCCTGGCGCAGTCATTGAGGCAGGCCCTGAGAGTAGGCGTTCCCAGTCGCAAGCCCAACCTTGACCAATTTCACCACCTTTCCCAGTCCCAAGATCAACGCTGCTATATTCCACTCGCTTTGCTTTGGGCTTACGCTCCCAGGCTTCCCTCTCTCTTTTTCTCTCACGGATCTCCCATTCCCACCCAGCTCTGGTTCCAGGGAAGTCACCTGGAAACCACGGTTTCTTTGACTCAAATGCAAGCTGTTGCTGTTCCTGTATTCCGCCAAACCGGGGATTTCCTCCGGAAGAAAGGGGGTAGTAGAGCAGGTAATACCAAACTGGAGTCACGCACTTCCATGGTAGTAAAACTGTCCAGGAGCCTTGTGAGTTGAAATTCTTTGAGGTATTATTAGACGCAATGAGGATTATGGGAATGTTTGGGTCAGTTGATTTCGGGGGAACATTTTCTCCTGGGCTAGCTTCGGATTTTCTTCTATTAATTGCCTTTTGCGACGGTAGCTGCCAACAAGCCTTGCGTCTGGCAGGTTGGGAAAACAGATCCGGCGGCATTTTTTGAGTCGAATCGGGCTTCCACGAAGCTAATGTTTCCATTAACTTAGTATGGCTTTCTGCTGAGTTTGGTATTTTGATAGTTTTAGGAGGGAAGCGAAGACGTGGGTCGCTAATGTTAAAGGAGAGAAGTGCGTTCCGGGGTAAAGAAGCCGAATTTGTTAACCCGGCCAGGGACTGCCAGGTGGATTCTGGTGAACCTTCTGGCCATACATCCACACCATGGGGCAGAGAAGGTTTCAAAGCACCTAGCAAGGCTTCCGTCGAACCAGGTCCCGCGACTTCTATACTTCCTATTTCGAACCTGAGGTCTTCAACCATCACTTGAGGCTTCTGGATTTTGGCCACCTTCAGGAGCTCCTCCCACAGCTGCAAGAAAGCAGATGGGTGGGCTCTGAGGAACATTCGTCGTCTTGGGGTCTTTGACTTTTGCAGTTTCTTGGGGACAGAGTCAGCTTCTGTCATTTCTATATCTTCATCTTGTTTGGGTGGGCACCAAATCAACTGGACAGGAGCAATAGGTCGCTTTTGTCCATCCCTCTCATAAACCCAGGCGCGTAAGCTCCGAGTTCCATTCCTCCATTTGTATTCATTACCTCCCCACGCGTTCTGTCCATTCACACCTAGCGCTCGTAAAAGATTTTTTAGGCTGGTATATGTTCCTTCTAGGCCAATTGTAGACATATAGCTCATGTCCCAGGCAATTGCACCCCTAGCCCCGCTGGCACGGTGGGTTGTTCGATAGCATTTCTCTGTGGGTGTCAATGGAACCGCAAACCCCCACAGCGGGTTTTTTGGTTCTGTGAAATGAGCCCGTTTGGCATGAAACATATGAGTTGGCAGCCATGTCTTACAAATCTGGCGCTTTCTGAATTTCGACGCTGGTTTCTGAGGGTGAGAGAGCTTGTTCTTTTTTATCTTTGGAATGCGCGGGGCAACTTCGGAATCATGACCAGCATAATGAGGGGATTGTGCTAGCTTGGCCTTTGCCACAGCTTGTCTTTTTGCCTTTGAGCGCGCGTTAAGGCCTTGATGCCGTCGAGCACTTTCCAACCTGAGTCGCATCAACTGAGTCGGTTTCCTTCGCCGTGCCGTGATAGTCGGTGTGTTATCTTCTATCATCTACACGCAGGTGAATCATCAGTTCACTGTGTTATAGATGATGGTTATACAGTAGAAAGTACATACCTCCCGCTTGGCTCGAGCTCGCAATCGACGAGGTACACGCTTCACATTATGACTCGCAGTTCTCCGCCTGAGGCTCTTAGGCAGCTGCTGAAAAGCGCGTGTCGTAGCTGCATTTTTAGATTTCCGAATACCGGCCTCCAGAGCACGGATTTCGAACTGTCGAGCAGCAACGAAGGCCGCAACATTGAGCTCCCCGGTTTTCGAAAGAGCTGTGTCAGAGCTTTGGACGGCCAGGGTGCGAGCATCCTGTATCTTCACTCGCTTACGGTGTAGGGACGAAGAGGAGTCCCATGCGCCTTTGCGCTTGTTGGGTCCGTTCGAGGCCATGCCTCCGAGTCATTATTGGACTGATGAGCCCAGCCTGCAAGTTTTCAAGCATTCATTTTGATAGTCGACAAAGTCGAGAAAAATAGAGTGAGATTCCCGTTTTTGGACTAGCGTAAACTAACTCTTATCTTGATAAGATTGAGTTTAAGGGTATTATCTAATCAGATTCGTGTGTATTATCATTTTTTATTAAGGTCGATGGCAGACGTCTCAGCAATACTCCATGAAACAGGGACAGAATTTGGCATGTCATTAATATCATTTATGATTGATATATTTCTAATCTAGATGGGCAGACTCTGCAAACTCATATCTAGACTCTAGACCCCTCCACGGACAAAGCCTTAATCTATACGTCTATCGAAGGGCAAATCACAACGTGGCGAGGATGGCATCGACGCCCGAGACCTGTTTCAAGCCCAGTTAGTCTAACTTAATACCCGGGAAGAAGGGTAAGTGGGACAAGCTTACAGTGACATTGGGAATGGAAGGCTCATTCTCAGCATAAGTAACTTTGCCGTTGTCGATGACCATGGCGTAACGGCCGGTGCGGCCCTCGTGGGCGGTCCAGCCAAAGGCACTGGAGAACTTTGAATCACTGTCGCTGAGGAAGAGCTATATCGTGCAATTATTAACATGATTAGACCGTGTGACTTTGCAGTAATAATGCAGGCCTGAGGCAAGAGGGAGATCTTACAATGTCATCACCAGTGACACCATTGGCCTTGCCCCAAGCACTCATGACGAAGGGGTCGTTGTAGGCAACGAAAGCAACGATGTCGACACCCTTGCTCTTCAATGCACAAAGCTTTGCAATGTAGTCAGGGAGGTGGGTAGCAGAGCAGGTTGGAGTGAAAGCACCTGTACAGTTGTCAGTTTGCAGGCATTCAAGGGGGTCTATATCGTCCTATGGGATGTGTATACCTGGAACGGAGACGAGGACGACCTTCTTGTTACTCCACTCCTTGGAGGCATCGTAGGGCACAGGGGCACCGCAGGTAGAGAATCCCTTCTTCTCCTCAGTCCATGGGATGTACCTATTACGATATTGTCCATGGTTAGCCTAATACCGCTTCCACAGCTGGATTAATCGGCCAAGCAGCACTGTCTGGCCCAGCTACAAGTTCAACGTGCCAAAGAAAAGGGTCAATCTGAAGACTCACTTGAAGAGAACACCACTTGGGAAAGCGTCTCCGGACTTCAACGCAGGCATTGTGAAGTAGTGTATGTGATTAAATGTGGGTTAAACAGCAAGAGTCGATACAGCAGACCGGCCGAGAGGCTGTGGCTATTAACAGGCAGAGCAAGATGGGAGACGAGGGAGAAGAAGAGGAGGACGAGGGCGAGGCAGACGTCGCTGCTGGCTATTTATCCTTATCTCGATGTCCCGCCCTTGCGCCCCCCCTGGTGCCCCACCACCCGGCATTGATGACATAAGATGCCGTTTCCCGTAACCGGCCGCCAGCAGCGAGTCGCATCGTACGATGTACCTTACTACAGATGGTGATGGTGAGCTTGATACCTAGCGAGCTTGATAGTGAGCTTGATGGTGATATTTTGCACTATATACGTCATTGAGAGTGGACATGCTCGGATAGGCGGCATGGCTAGAGATGGTAGAGAAATGATAGCACAGGCGGTGACTCCATGCCTGGTACACGAATATAGAGAACACCCACACCTGCCACGCTGATCATAGACAAGTAAAACACCAGCCTAACCTTGCAGCGTTTGAGACGTCCTCTTGGCCACCAGGGCTCCAAGTGCTGCTCCTACACCGCTACCGTCCTTCGCGATTCCGATCCGAATCTTCTTCTCTCCAGCCGGTCCGATGGCTGGTATCTCGCGAAAGGCTTCCCGAATATAGCCCTCAAAGCCGGGGTAGTGCTCAATCAGGCTGCCGTCAACGCCGATATCAACTACCTCATCGGTTGCCAGCCGGCCGCTGGAGATAACGATGGCGCCCAGGGCGATAGCCCCCAGTCGTGCTGCACGCTTGCCAATAGAGTGTGCCAGGAGCTTGACGGCCTGGCAGTCACTGGTGCTAACATCCATGATACCAAGGTCCTTGCGTAACTGCTCCTTTGTGGCCTGAAGGCCCTCCGAGTCGTCCCCCTCAATGATGCTCAGAATACTAGCATCGATTGCCCAGGCCTGATACAGAACCGAGTTAGTGTCAATCGTGGCTGGGCTGCCAAACAGACTGACAGAAGGGTTCTCCACCATCGACAAAATAGCAAGACGAAGAATTTCACCGAGGAACATGCCCGAGATCCGCTTTTCAAACATCTGGATCCCAGGATTGAAGGTCTCATTGTCCAGTTGGATATCAAACTCTGTGTTTGGGAGCACCTTGAGAGAATTGTCAAAGCTACCCCACTCAGCGTTTATCACCATCTCAGAAGCTGACTTATTATATGCGCTACTGCTGCACCGTTCCATTTTCGTCACGCGGGGCATCTTTTCGACATACGCTCCGTTGGTTCCCGTGCCAAAGATGGCACCTATTAGTGTCCTGGAGTTCCCAGGAGAGCAATATGACCGGGCCATCAGCGTTCCCACGGTATCATTGATGAGGGCTGCAACTCGAACGGGCAGCTTGAGCTCGTCAATCGCTGTCTGTAACAGCTGGCAGATGTCCTTACCGACCACTTCAGGGATGTCAAAACCCTTCGTCCATCGATATAGTTCACCTTTGTTGATTCCATGCTGGATGACGGGGAAACTGAAAGTAAACCCAAGGTCAAACACTTGCTCTTCGGCATAGGGCTCCTTAACCTCTCCAGTCTGTCTTTTCTCGACGTGGGAACTGAACTGCTCGGCATGATACTCTTGCAGGAATGCCTCAATTTGCTTTGCTAGGAAATTAAACAATTCCACTCCATGCTCGGCAACCATCAGCTCTCTGGGGATGGCTGATTTCGATTGTATCATCTCATGAGTGGAGTTGCCATGCAGGTGGACAGAACAGACTCTCAGGTTGGTACCACCAAGGTCGACTGCCAGATACACGCCCTGTAGTTACCAGAACCAAATGCTACGTCAGCATCAGTCATCTTCAGCAAGGCGAAGATAAATACTGCACCTTCTCCGTCCCATCGGGCACAGAAGTAATATAAGACGGGATCTGGCTCAACCCAGAATTCTCTCGAGACAGCCCAACCTCCATCTCGCGTAGAAACTCCTCCACCCCTTTATTAAGTTCCTCCGTAGAGTACTCAAACCCCGCGGAAATCCGCTTCGCTTCCTCCAGAACCGCAGAAGCCATCTTCGAGGGACAAATAGAAAATATCTGTTCCGGATCGAGCAGGCCTTGGAGATACGGGCTTTCGCACCACTGGCGCAGGTATCCGGGTGGTGTCTGTACGGTGTTGTGGCGAGAGGGGAGGAAGAAAAGCAAAGGCGAGGACTTCAGGAACGACACGCGGGGGATGCTCGGGCCGTCTCCGGGAAGAGCAGGGACGGTAGACGTAAGGAGAAGATGTATAATTATGAGTATTATGGGGAGGACAAAGTAGTAAAGCGACGGGCTCAGGTTGTTAAATATGGACAGCTTTTTGTCTGTGGTGGGGAGACTTGCTGCCCTACCAGTGTTTTCTTTGGGTGGCCTAGAGATGGATACCTTCAAGTTAACTCAAATTACCAAGGCCTTCTGGAGAGCGGAGGGAAACATAGACTGACGGCTGGCATGTCTCATGAAGCCCGGAAACCTGGTTCATGTGGAGGATATCTGCGATGTGGACGTCACTGGCCGTCATCGATGGTACAAGATTCAGGGTTGGCACGCCCGGGCTGGACCCGTGGAAAACGCCCCGAGGCAAAACCCCAGACGGGGAGAGAGATTGGCTCGTTGTTCCTGTTCTGCTGCGATTGCAGGGCCAATAGGTGTCTTTTTTGTCCCTGATCACTTGTGCGCGGCCATTGACATCGCAGCAGCCAGAGGGTGATGAGAAGAGGCCCCAGTTTACCCAGCGACAAGGTAGGAGAAGAGAATGACGTTGCAGGACGTGATCAAACCGGTTGCATTTCCACGCTTTGACATAAGAAGAAGAAGAACAAGAAGAAGGATTAACGAGCGAGTTGATGCTACGTAATGCGAGATCAGGACTCCTGCCGGCAGTTATTAGTACGACGGCATATTTCTTTTTACGCTTGTGGCTAGCTATCGATATCAAGATGAGGCTCTCAGGCAGAGATCACGACTATCCGCACTGTGCAGGCTCTGATTCCCTATCGTACCCATGCAGGCCACCGTCAAGGATCCACTGTTCGTTGTCGTCGTTATCGTCCTGGACTCGTCTCCAGGTCTGCTTCTGCTCTCTCCCTCGTACGGGAGGCTTGTCGCTGCCTTCGCCGGATGGTTTCCATGTAGGCCTGACCAGGCCGGCGCCCTTTAGCAAGGGATTGTTGGAGAAGGTTCCCTCTCCTACGGACAGCTCAGGAGACTCTGTCGTATCCTCGACCGCCTCTTCTGCGTTGGCATCAGTGTCGGTATCTTCCACCCTTGGTCGCTCTGCTTTCTCGTACGTCCTAACGAGTTTCCCTTTCTTCACCTCCAGACTCATCACTACATTCTTCTTCTCCCACTCTGGTTTGGACTGCTCTTCCAGCTCCCGTAGCATGCGCTGTTGCTTCTTTAGCGCCAGTGCTCTCTGTGCCGGGGTCATCCACTGTGTCGACGACGAAGTTGGTATGTCGAAATCAGCCGCCTCGTCTATAATCCGAGTTCTTTGTGCATTGTGTGCCTGGAAAGAGAGAAGCTTGTCACGATGAGCCTTTGCAGCGGTCAACTTTTGGTTGCTTTCGCTACTTATTCGAGCGGCAGTTGGGACGTGGTCATCCCGGCGGAAGCTGTCATTATGAGCTCGCATCTTTTCATTGCCACGCTCAGATCGTAGTTCCCGGATCATGTCTTCGACTTCCTCGTTAGAGAGAATTGGGGTACCGCAGAATGAGCATGGCTGTATGCCTTCCAGAGCACATATTATTTTCCCACACGAAGTGCAGTTTGGTGCGGGCGCGAAGAGAGGATGGATGGAAGTATTGCAGTTACACTTGCGTGTCTGGGTTTTCGAAGGATTTGAGGTTAGTATTTCCAATGCCGCAATTGCAGATGTGATATCAGCTATATTATTTGTAGTAGTGGTGGTAGGAGTGGCGTTGGTGTGAGTAGGTGTACGGCCAGTCTTTTTCTGCGTAGTGTTATTGCTCGACGATGACGGTGCAGCATTATGTTGCCCGAAATTCTTCGGAACTTTCTTTGACCGAACGTTTGGTAGAAATTCTGATATCATGGGGCCAGTAGCAGATGGAGGCAGCGTATTTTTCGACTGTGAGGGAGCTGGTGATGGGTTTCGCGATGACGATCCTGGTGATACGCTCTCTGAAGCGCCTCTGGCCACAGAGTTACTACTAGTCATGTAGTTCTCCTCACTCTGCGGCTTAGTATAACCGCCACTAGTATCTCCATAACCTTCTGGTTGTCTCGTGGTAGGTGGAGGTTTCAAAGTACCCCTCTGAAATTTCGTTCCTGCTACTTTCATGGGTATCTGTCCACTCCTGCCTCCTTGGCCGTTGCTGCTACTGCTGCTCTGCTGCCCTGACTGGCCACGTCGCGAATTGAATGCAGATATAAACTCAAGTGCTGCTGAAGAATCGTCCAACAGGTTTCTCAAATGCACTGCACACTCGTCTTTGGAGAGCGAGGATGAATATGATATAACCTGTTTGAGAGACTCCTCATCCAACGGAAGGAGTCTAGCAAGTCGAGGGACCGCCCATGATTCAAGAGAAGATCCTGACATGACTTACTACAAAACACTTGTATAATATACGAAGGGATATAAAATAGTAATAAGAATCAACTCTTACTTTTTTTTTTCCTCCAATCTATTTGAAAGCTCCTGTTTGTCTGTTTTCGCTCTGAGATCCAAAGCGCGGGCGATGACTAACAGAATAAACTTTCGGATGAATATAAGGTCCGTAAACCAGATTTGGACTAGTGCAATTTTCCATCCGTGCCAAGATGAGTTTCCACCAAACCTTGATAAAAATAGAATTAGAGATTGGTCAAGGCTTTTCTTCAGAACAACCATGGAAGGACGGCATGATCAACCGCGACGGAATATTCAGGTACAAGTACTTTTTACACAGAACATAGCATTACTATTAAGTCAATCGCATAGAAACATTATGATGACTTCATTATTCAGGCTAAATACAAAACAGTGCCAGGATTGTTCCTGATTTATCCATTCCACTAGGGCTGCACAGAGGCAGACCCCACTCCCTTCTTTAAACCCGAGACCAACTTGTGCTCTGAAAAAAGATCTTTAAGGGCAATCACCACCACCGCATTCGCGGACGAAAAAGTAGTAGATATCGGCATAACGGCGGCACTCAACGCCCTTCCAGCTCTCGAGGCCAGAGAACTGGCTGCAGTAGTTGTAAAGGTCAGCCTTGAAGTTGTCATCAACCTTCTTGCGGTAGTCCTCAGTGAAACGGTTGAGTCTCTTTCCGTTGCGGTATCCGTAGTCGTGACGCTGGCAGGATGGGATAAAGTCGTATCCTCGTGGCTTGTCTGGGGAGCTGGAACAGTTGTCAGAGCTCCAGTCGCAGCATGGAGGATTAAGGGCGTTGCGGGCGGCTTGGAAAGTAGAAATGGAGGAGCTAAAGAGCAAGCGATCGGTGACAGCAGCACCGCAGTCACAGGTAGCAGTAGCTGGGGCAGCAGCGGCCAAAGAGCTGGCACCCAAGGCAAGGAGAACGCTGAACTTCATTGTGATAACGTATTTGTATGTTTGTATGTTTGTTTGTTTGTTTGTATAGAGGGTTTGTTCGAGTTGCGCCTGGTATACAACGAGAGCATTCCATGGAGGATCCTCTGCCTATTTATATTCAACCATACTTGTCCGCTGGGAGAACAGAGTCCATGAAGGCTGGTCCCTCTTCTGTAACCCCGTATCAAAGTCTTGTCTCCGTATCCAGCGGATACCACAACAAAGACACACTGCTTTAAAATGATATCCAAAAATAAGACTAACCAAAGATCTCGCAACTCTGGGCTCTGCAGACTGGGAGCCAACCAGAAGCATGAGATCCTTGTTCGCTCGTATTCATGCGCTCCCGAAACTCAAGTTCGTCAAACATGCCTTCCAGCCCTGTGGTGGGATTGGAGGGGTATCTTAGAGAGGAAAAAGAAAATAATGAATCATGAAAACTGAAAATCTGCAATTCATAAATTGGGTATAGAATGACTTGGTTGGAGAAGACCAGCCACGTCGATCCTCACATCGGCTTGCACTGACCCCACACCAGAGAGCAAAGAACGTCTGGTCTCTTTGTAAAGAGCTTCCTAGGAGGCATCCTTTTGAAGCCTATTGCTCGTATGGAATAAATTAGCAAAGCGGAGATCTCCGCGCCCTTCATGTAACTGCCTATAAATGGCTTAGAGTGAGGTACACAAAACTCCCTTCTTGATAAGCGTAACCATGAATTTCTCTCCGTTCCTTCAAGCAAAATATGAAATAGAGGCCGGAAAACTGTGTACACTGGTTAACAAGCCTCAGCATTACGGATATCAAACCGATCAAGGGCACAACACAAGGATATATCAATCTAAAGTTCTTACCCATGACCATTCCATGCCACCGCGAGGCTAACTACCATCTCCGCCTTGTAGTCTTGTATATTAACTGTCCGGATGGTGGTGATATTGGATGACACTCCATGCAAGAGGGGAGGGACAAGAATATGCAAGGCTGAGTTAGATAACTTGTTAGCTAGCTCAGACGAGACAACCATCATAGGAGAAGAAACAAATAGGTGAGCCATCCCATACCATAATACATCTGTTTACATGAAGCTCTGCTCAGGCCAAACAAGCTCTCCCATTCGTATCAATTGGTTTTTCGTAACGATGATATCCCCTTCTTTGCGGCCATGTCTCACGCGCCCGAACACTTTCTCGAAGGGAATAATAAGCTCCCCCGTGGCTCTTGTGGTGACACCCTTGTGAAACACCTCGGCAGTTTGCACGACTGATCCGTGTGGATGATGAGAACGGGTCGCATGTTGGATATATGCGTGCTCCCAACGCTGAAAAGTGATGCGTGGGCTGTGTTTGTCAATGTTGATAGTAATGACAACTTTGGTTTCGGATCCCTGCGCTTCCAGCCAGCCCTGGGCGTCAATCGCCAGCTTTTGCTGGCTTTCCAACATTCCAGTCTCGATAACAAGCACCGGCCAACGGGTATGGCCATCCAGGGCAAAGGCTAGATCAGGTTGCTTTCTCCAGGTCTTATTCAAATTCTGTATTTCCGACTCGTTCATGGCGACGAGTTCGTATTCGACGCCCATCTTCCCAAGCTGAAGGATGATTTCCAGGTGGAGGCGGCCGGTCGCCATTTCATGCGCCGTGCTCTTCATCACTTCAAGAATCACAGTTGGGCCTCCGTCTTCAAAATCATATGTTATACGGGGGCCACTGTCAGGATAGACGTTATCCAGGGCTTTGAAAAAGTTATCATCCACGCAAGTTACTATTAAAAAGGGGCTTTTAGAGCTATCCGCAGAACAGTCAAGGGACTGGGTATCTATTATATTCTTCAATTTCTTCATGTTGGTATACTTGACTATCGGTGTTCTTTCAGGGAGCCCAGTCAATAGTTTGGAAGACGCAACACATTGCTGTGTTGCCTCAGGAGTCGTCCTTAGGGAAGCCATGGTATGCTATATAGTACATGTGTTGTTGATTTGTGTTGTTAATGCGGTAGTGTTGTGTGTGCAACACCGACTACTTCCGTAGATAGTTATGAATCTGGCAATATCTCCCGCATAAATCTATATCCGGACCTTGGTAGCTACCTAGGTAACTACCTAAATCAGTTTAGGTACCTAATTATAAGAAATAACTGGTAACATGACTGCGACTAGTAACTATTGGCCACATTGTATTAGGTAGTTATCATGTTCATATTTGAGATATAACCAATTTTCTATAAAGTTGACTATGCCCTTCCTACAATACCAAAACCCCGGGTATATCGTAGAAATTATGCTTGTCATAATTATTTGGATGAATTCACTAACTAAACTAACTAGCTGATTTGCAGGGAAGCCCAACCTTGACTATTTTCTTCCAGCATATGCCGGGAGTGAAGAAAGCCGATTAATTTAACAAGGATGGGGGGAGAGCCAGTACCATGAAAGAGAGCAAACATGTGGGAAAGACCATCGAAAACAATATCGCACACGTACGGGAACCCCAGCTGCGTTTAACAACGATAAGAACAGCCTGCCACTAATCGGATGTCCCCGAGCCATCCAGTGTCCCTAACCAAATGAGCTCGATCAAACTATGCGCCTCATCAAGCTCCCTCGAGTACAGCTGGTGCACGTTGTGTCCAATGACGGTAGCTTCCGTAAGCATCCATCGTTCCTTTTTGACTCCAGGTTGGTCTCTGGGACGTAGAGGCCCAAGTCGTTTTTCAAACACTTTATCATCTCCATCCCATGTTTTTTCAACTTTATCGAATCCGACAGATTCAGCGTTTGCAGAGGCGTCAATTGTGTATTTGACCATTGAGTAGCCATTTGTTAGCACCCAAAAGGTTCGTTGGCCTTTCCCGGTAATCCGCTCGTCAAAACGCCATCGTCGTAAAACGGAGTTACGTCCTGCAACAGCTGCGATTGTGCTCATTTTTACGACGTCCTTGTTGTACCAGCTTTGCCAATGGTGAAGAGAGTTAAAACGGCGCCCTGATTCGAACAGCCCATCAGGCTCACCTCTTATATCCATCTGATACAACGAATCCCAGAGAGTCAAATCCGTATTTCCAAACTTCTTGATGCAGTGTGCTACCTTCTGATCTCCGGGTTGAGTGCCAAGATCCTGACATTTCTGGTACACCGTATGCATAGTCTCAAGAAGTGGCTTTGACACAAATACCCCAGCACCTCCAAAGGCAATAGGACCGAACTCTTTAACTTGAATATCTGCTTCGGAGAGGGATCCGATATAATGTCTCTTGGTAGCATCAATTGTTGCAAGACGCTTGCCAATGGTAGCTAGAGACGGAAAGAATGTATCGTCGTCCACAAAGCTAACCCACTTGACATTGGGAAGGTTATTCTCGATATGCTCCGTGAATGCTTCAACCAGGCCAAAATAGCGAGCCGTAAACTCAAGGGGTGAGGTCTTTAGGGTCAGGTTTAGCCCACGGTTGCGGAAGTATGTCTCGTGAATATCGATATTTTCAGTTCCCTCAGGGATGAGAACCAGCATGTTTGCCTTCGAAGAGCCATATGAGAAAAGGAGTGACGGGAGAAGGCGCCTCAGCCGGTCTACATCTGTTGCGAGACCAAAGAGAATAGCGGCCGTATCGTCGACTTCGCTGTCCGCGGCCACATCCACGTCAATGACTGGAGGGCATGTCAATACACTCTCTCCTTTATCCTCAGGTGGTGCCGTCAGCCCACGATCCAGAGCCATGAAATCTGGGAGAACTGGTTGTTTAATGGTCTCCAAAGGGGCAAATTTTGCATCCGAGCTCACCATGTTGGGACGGATATAGGCGCGGGTAAAGTTCTTTCGATGGAGCCATTCCGAGTATGATAAGGGGGGAGGGACCATCAACCCTCTTTTGCACAGTTCATTAACGGCCTCGACTGAAGAAAACTGAGGTTGGAAACGCGTCAGGGGCGAGACATTCAGGCTAGACCGAGATAGCTGGTCAAAAGAGTGAGCAAGATTAGAGAGGGCAATGCGATCATATCTGACAGTAGCCCAAAGAAAAAAGATTGGGATCACTAGCACCAGGCTAATGATGATATTTTTAGATCGGATATGCATTGTCCCTGTTTGTTTGATGGTAGAAGGCGCGTCGGTATAGGATCCTAGAGAGAACAACACCAGGGCTTCCTAAGCCTTTCTCTTGAAGATAGCAGTAGAGACAAGGGGTCTGGCAAGAAAAGCCGTTGATGTGTAGTAAAAGACACAAGAACAAGCGAGAAAGAGAAACAGAAAGTGTGTGAGTGAGTGTGTAAGTAAGTGAGTGAGTGTATGTGAGTGTGTGAGTAGGAAAGGAAAAAGTAAAGACAGGCAATTTGATTAAAAGATGTTGTTTCCAGCAGTTTATTAACCACACATATCAACCCCACAAGTTGGAGAATCACCGGGTATAGCGGGACCGTACAAGCAGGAAAACAAGCCTAGCAAGGAGGAAAAGAAAGAGAATGTTGGCAAAGAAAACGAAGCATAAGAAAGCCCCATAAAGAATAGCAAATACTAGGGAGAAGAACATCCTGTAGCATTATTGATATGAGTGTTTCAACCCAAAATGCTGCCTTTGGTCAATATTGATAGGAATAGTATCTTTGCCTGTGACCCTTATCTGTTTATCAGAAGGACTGAGATGTCCTAAGGCACATGTATAAATGGTTGCACTTTCCACCGTTATAGATGGGGTAGCTGATATATGAAAACAAAAAGGAGCAGAGTGAGTTGCTAGGCGGCGGCCATCATGCCTGGCACCTTCTAGGACTCGAACTTGCGTGTAGGTGAGAACGATGGGATATATTTTTATCTTGCCGTATGCCAGCAACGGGCAAACCATACATAAGGTAGACGGGACAAGCCACGACGGGTTAAATAAAAGGTATTTAAATTAAAAAAGGTATCTGATGGTTATATATTATTATAAATAATATCCGAAGGAGTATATGGGGTATTTGTAACCGCCCAACGGTTACGTAGTCTCGTTCGCTTCCTCTTCGTCAATCGTACCTTCTCGATCATCAAATTTCAAGAAGTTATTTTCATCGGCTTCGTCACCCATTATGGTTTTCCATACCTGCTTAACTTGATCAATCAAAGCATCGTCAAAGGCCAGGTCAAGTGCCGGGGCAGGAAAAGAGAAGACGTTGTCATGAGAACCTTTTATATTCTCATTTACAGCCATTTCACGTTCTAGACATCCTAGCTGAGTGAAATGAGCGCCCCAGATTACCGTTGCTTTTGAGTCCACAGACTTCAAAAAGTTGTCCACCGCGTTTTCAAGGACCACCTTGCCCCTTTCAGCGGGTAGTAGAACGTAACCGTAAATTATACCTATTTGCGCCGAAGGTTAGCAACATATATCAACCTCAAAAAGATAGTGTAGTTTGGCGCCAAAAAAAAAAAAAAAAAAAAGAGAGAGCTTTATGTGCTCTGGATCAGAAAAATGAGATTATCATCAATGATTTTGCAGACAATGTAGATAATATAAAGGCATCATGGAAAGATAGTTAAATGAGTGTGATTGCTAGTAGAATGGTCATACTCACATTGGTTAGTAGGGCACTCTCCAGTATCACTTGAGTGTACCAAGAGATAAGTAGGAGGATCAGAATTTCTTGATGGAATAGTAATAACAGCGCCAGCTGGGACGGGTCCATTCTCAGAAGTCTGTGGAAAAAGTATCTCCAATGGCGAATTGACAACCATGATAGCTCGCGCAAGGCGGGAGTAGGGACGTACCCTTTCTCTTTGAATCTGTTCTGGGAGATCCCATCCAGATCCAACGACATACCTACTCTTTACGGACTCGTCGTCCGTGAGATAAATATGTAGCTTTTCGCTTTCGCTTCCCTCGGTTATCTCATCCACCTTCTTGATCTCCTTACCAAGAGCGTATATCCCACCTCCAACGGCACAGGCACGGCAAGCAGCTTGGGAAAATTCAGCCCCGCCGCCCCATTTAGCTAGAACGGCGCCAAAACCAGGCCCGAATACTCCGATAGAAGAAAGGTGTCTTTTGATATTTGGAATAGCATCCATAGAGTCGGTTGTATCCATACTCTTGAGAGAAAGGGAAAGTGAGAGTAGCGGATCGAACAAATCACTGGGAATGCGATATTTGGTCTTCAGTAGCTCCTGGAACTGCATATTCTGGGCTACTTCTGATTCAGCCTCGTTCTCCTGGTCATTGCCCTGTTGCATGAGTTGCCTGAGAAGCTTCATTAGAGATCGTTTAGATTTCATACTCATGGTTTCATCAGAAAACACGTCTTCGCGGCTACTAGGCACACGCTGCAGCCTAGCTGGCTGGGAGTTGGCTTCCGAACCAGTGCTATGCTGATATATCCACCAACTCCCTACAGCCTGAAATTCAAGCTGACGATAGACTCGAGAGGATACTAGTGATGGGAGAAACCTGGACTGGGAAAACAGTAGATGAGGCGATAAAGATAACGTATATGCACGCGAAAACGACAGTTCGTCATCTTCACCATCTGAAACAGCAGGACGTGATATACTCGCAGATTCGAAGGGCGTAAAGTTAGGTACTGACTTAGATAAAAAGCATGTCAGCGCCCTAAATCCTCAGAGTAAACAAAGTAGGGAGAGAGACCATACCCTCGTTGACCTTTTTCACCCATTCCTCTGCTTCCTGTAGGCTAAATGCGGCCTCGGAGCCACCATAATAATCATTTTTGTCAATATGCAGTATTTTCTTGCCGGATCGTGACAAGGCCCTTCACGTAAAATTTCAAGTCAGAAACAGCACTTCATACAGCACTTCACTCAAGTATATTCTAAGCTTACAGTGCCAGGAAAGCCTGGGGGAGGCCAGTGCCAGATATCACGACATCCCAAGTCGACCCATCAAGCGTGTTCAAATCGAGCATTCTGATATGGTCCTCTGCTTTTGGATCAAAGACCAGGTCTCAGGGGAACATTTATTCATTGCCCCTCTATCATTCTTAGCAGCCACAATAAGGCCAAGGTAGCAGCAGTTTGACACCACAAGCTGTCTCCCAGGCTACCACGATCGATATCCTGTAGCTAAATATCAAAAGCTGCTCATGTTTGAGTTGTATGAGGTTGTTCGATTTTGCTTTTTGTGCGTAGGTGACAAAATGTGTCATGTGATATAAATCTTGGCGTTGACAATCACAAAAACGCGAGGGAAAAAATGTCGAAATTACTTCTTCTTTTCTCTCCATGCCACTCCGCGTGTAAAGCGCCGACATACAGCTATTGTTACACATGTTAGTTCTGTGTCTATGGATGGCCCTTCATTGGTGCTGTCATTCACGAGTGGTAGATCCAATTTCGCCCTGTATCTGCCGCTCAGGATAAGTACTCTGATAGATGCGGTTCGTATTGAGGTGATACATCTATATGTGTAAAATTATTATTGGAGTGCCCTGCGTTGCCGTCCTGCTGGCATCTGGGGAAAAAGCAGCTCTTCAATTTCAGCCGAAATTCTGTGTGTAAAATCCCCGGTGGCAACGGTAGCCATATTGTTAACGGGAAAAAGCTATTGAGCGCTTGTTTGGTCAATCCCAATAAGTAAAGGCCAGCCTACCCTGCTGAGATGAGTGGTGTGGCCGTGGTGAACTGGAGTTGATATCCATCACCATTTTCTGGAAGAGTCCATAAACGTCGACCTAGGGCTAGGTCTCACTCATCTTCAGTTTCAACAGGACGAGCCCTCATTATCTTGACCTGGTCCACCGGCCGGTCCTCAGCTCCTGTTTTTACAAGGCCCATCCTCTGCACAACTCTCATCCCGCTCTTCACCCGTCCAAATATTGTATGTTTCCCATCCAACCACGGCGTTGGTGCCAAAGTAATGAAAAACTGGCTGCCATTCGTGTTTGGGCCACTGTTCGCCATGCTCAGCACTCCAGCTCCAGTGTGTTTAAGTGAAGGATTTATTTCGTCTTCGAATTTTTCACCGAAGATCGAACTTCCGCCTCTGCCTGTTCCGGTAGGGTCACCCGTCTGGACCATGAAATTGGGAATTATACGGTGGAATATGACATTATTATAGTATCCTCGTTGTGCTAACGTCGAAAAATTCTTGCAGGTCTGTAAATGAGTTAGTGGCATTGCTTCGCATTATAAACGAAAGAAGTAATATTGGTAATAACCCACCTTAGGGGCATGTTCTGTATACAGCTCGACTGTTATAGAACCCTAGGAACAAAAAGTCACGGTCAGATACGGCTAGTTTGTTAAGCTTGACGTTGGTGAAAACACACCATAGTTGTTTCAAGAACCACTTCCTGCGCCATGGTTAGGGACTGTAATTTTGTCTAGCTTGCAAGTTAACAAAACCTGCAGATCAACCAATAACAATATTAATGGAAGGGAGTATGCTTGTTATGGTGGTGGTTGTAGGTGTTAAGCCGTAAGGACAGATCGCGGGTTGAAACTCAAAGCGCGCAGGAGCCACATCTCGACTTCCAACTAAGTTAATCAAGCGCCATAATAAAACTTCAACAACATCGCAAGACTGTTCTACACAAGCGCTGCCCAGCAGTTTCTCTAGATAGAGAAAAACTTATATTTAAATATCTCATTTAATCATCATCTTTTATTCTCAGCCATTTTAGGCCTCGAATCTGGGCCTAAGCCTTAGTCGCTATCACTACACCCAGTATCACACGCCAGACAGTGAAGCCTCATTCATATAGGAGCTGGCAACCGAAAGTGCCATGCATCCTTTACCTAGCTTAACGGAAGCTATTGATCAGCTCACTGTCGAATTTGCCCTGTTAAAGCCTCTCATTCCCACATATACTCATCTCATAATTTCTACACTGTTTGCTCTATATATTGGCTGTCATGCTTCACTCTCAAGGCCCTCATCAGCCAAAAAGGAATCTAAAGAACACAGAGAAGAGGATGATACGGATGAAGCTGTTGTCCAAAAGATGGGTGGCTTAGAACCATCAGATGCTATAGTATTTCCGGTTCTATCTGGCCTCACGCTCAGCGGTCTCTATCTTCTGATAAAAAACTTTGACACCAAATACTTGAGCAAGATCTTAAACTGGTACTTTTCGCACACCAGTTTTATATTTGGCATAGCTTTCATCCGGGATGCTATTACAATACTCAGATCTTTTGCCTTTCCTACCCGCTACTTTCACCGTGGTACTCTGTGGAAGGCTAATCAGGAAAATCGAGTCTACGAAGCAGTGGCTTCAGAAGGCTGGTCCCCTAACACCCGTCCGTCGCCATTACCGGGTATATTGGGAACAATTCCCCTCGCAATATCTGTGCAAAATATTCTCTGGAGTTTACGGGGAGCTTTCTATCAGAAATTGAACTTCCAGGCTTACATCCGGTCACTCGTGGATCTTAAATTTCCTTTCAACATCATCGACGTACTTAGTATTATTTTCTCCGGCGTCGTGGTCCAGTTCTCTGCATTCGGTTCGCGCCCATGGTGGCTAACAAACTTCCTGGGATTCTGCTTTTCCTATGGTGCACTCCAATTCATGTCACCCACTACATTTTGGACTGGAACTCTTATACTAAGCTCCCTATTTTTCTACGACATATACTTCGTCTTCTACACACCAATGATGGTTACTGTTGCCACAAAGCTTGATATTCCAATAAAGCTTGTATTCCCACGTCCGCCTGTCCCTGGTGAGAGCAAACCAGCAGAAGCAATGCTAGGATTAGGCGATATTGTGGTACCTGGGATGATAATCGGGCTTGCCTTGCGGTTTGACCTTTACTTGTACTACTTAAGAAAGCAAAATCGACAAGCACAGATAAGCTCAAAGGACGACGACCGAGTTGAGTACAAGAATGCTGCAGGTGGGTGGGGTGAAAGGGTCTGGGGATGCGGGTTCAAAGGAGCAAATGCTCCCCGGCAGGAAGAAGAATACTTTGATGCAAAATCGTTTCCAAAGTCATACTTTACTGCTGGATTAGTCGGATATGTCATTGGTATAGTCGCGACATTATGGTCAATGCAATTATCTAAACATCCGCAGCCTGCGCTATTATTCCTTGTGCCAGGGGTTCTGGTCTCTCTCTGGGGCACAGCATTTGCAAAAGGCGACATACAGGCTATGTGGAACTTTTCTGACGAAGTTGAAGAAGAGGGGAGCAACGAAGATGAAACGAATAAAACCGAAGCCAACGATCCATATATGGAGGGAATCTTGAAGAAGACTTTGTCATTGTTCTGGGATACTCGCATATCTGAGCAGGATGACAAGAGTGCAGCCGACGTAGGCGATTCTAGCAGGGATTCCAGCTCAGAAAGCCCGGATCGTGATGGAAATAAAGACAGTCCTCCTAGTACCGAAGACAATTCCCCTGAAGAAAAGAGGACTCATTTGAAGTCAGAGCTTATATCGCTGTCAATTTCATTAATAACACAGACAGAATCGAAAAAGGAGCTAGGGGGAGAAATTAAACTTGTCTCAACACCCCAGCCATCGACGAATTCCTCCCCAATTCTTGTTGCTAAGGAAGAAGAACGCCCATTGAAGAAAAGGCGGGGATATAAACCCACCAACTGAAGTGCGTCAGGGTACTGTGCAGATTTTTTAGGCATTTTCGGGGCTTGACTCATGTTACGTCAACCTTAGATCTGATGATGCTATGATAGAATTTGAGGATAGATATTGTGGTTACGATACAAAAGCTCATCAGTACTTTTTTTCATTTGTTTCGCTGTCGTCAAAACAGGAGCTATCTTGAGCGACATCTAGACCGTAGATTGGGACTCAGCCTTCTAATACCATCTTTAATTCATTCCACCTCGAGGTGGCTAAGCTGACGATATCTTTCATTTCTTCTTTTCCCACATAAAATCCGCCATTTTTCTCCAGACTCACTATTTTAGCGATGGAGTTTGACGAGGTGACATCCACCACAACACAGAGACGTTCTGGGCATAAAGACTCTTCAAATGCATCAGGATCCGCTAATACCCATTTATCATGAGCTTCATCCGCATCATTAGAAACTGAGCCGTCCAATTTCTTCCCTTTCCCCTTTTGTTGGTCAAACGGAAGAAATACCCGCCTCCAATCGTCCATTCCATGAGCTTCAAAAACGCAGAATGAACTCGAAATCGGCATACCACGTAGTCGTAAGCCTTTTGCTTCAGAAACTCTATCAGAGCATAGTATTTTCTCGCTCTCTAAATCCCACCATGCCTTGGGCAATTTGGTGTTTTTTAGTGCAGCCACTACTGCTGCCCACGCTACATCAAACGGGTTCCCAGCAAGTGAAACCATCAAGACATCGATATATAGAGTCCAAAAAGCTTTAACTTCTGGGCCCTTGGCTGTTGTTTGGGTGGAATCATCATTCCCATCATCCATCTCGATATCCTCATTGGTGGTCTCGGGTGCCTTGGCTGGATCTGGGGTATACCATATCCGTAGGTCTTCAGCACGAATCAGATTTGAGCTGTGAAGAAGAGAAAGAAGTTTATGGGATAGAGACTGCGCCAGAGCTGTAGGTGGAGCGCTGGCAAATATGCTGGGTGAACAACCGGTGCTTAATGACAAGTTGGGAACAAGTAAATTGAACGACTGGATATCCGAATCGTCATCTTCATCATCTATAACCAGATCCGGATCAGATTTTTCACCAATATCTTCGGTTTTCATCCGCTTAGCGCGTCTCGAAGACAGCTCCGATGTGACCTTCCAGGAGGCAATATCATCGGTTCGGAGTAATTCTGCCCTCACGCCACAAACAGCTGCTGTGTCGCCCATCCGGACAACCGCGCCGCCATTGGTGTGAGTAAGTGAGCCTGTGCTCACAGAAGCTGGCCGAAACTGCGTATCCGTCCTGCCATTAATTCGTATCGACGGTCGTGAGCTGGACGGGGAAGGTTGGAGATGTGCGAGAGCATAAGTATGTGGCTGGAGCTGTGCCAGGTGTGCTGGAGAGATCGAAAAGGCCGGAGTAGAGCTGGGTACTCCGGAAGGCGCTTCTACGGCTACATTGATTGTTGCCATCTCTCCAGTATGCCGCCGTTGACTCCGAACGATATATGCCTTATCTCATCGTCCTCCAGCTTTCTTTTCTCTAAGAAAAGTCGCTACGGCAGAATAGCAAGGTACCAAGGCGGTAAGGAGGCTTGGCGCTTACCTTATCTTCCACCACTCACGTGATTGAATCCTGGTTTTAGCCAATATCAGAAAAAATACCAATATCGAGAACGCAACAGCAAGCAACTAAACATCAACCCTTGGACTTCCGTCAAGGGCTTCCGCGGAGAGAGCCCTGAGAGGTCCCAGTATATGCTCGGTGTGCCGTTTACTCCGTACTCGAGGATGGGTACGGTCTTCTCTGTCAACCAGCTCGCGATATTAGGGACACGGATGTTGGTCTTCGGGATGTGCGCAGCTAGAGCGGAGGGACTAATGCATGGGATTTCACAGCCCATCACCCTCTGAATGCTATCTACCCCTGCTGATTGGACAAGGTCCTTTCGAGTGATCATCAACGGCAGTCGTACAATGGGACGGAGCTTCAGCGCTTCGTTTTCTACCTGGCCAATAGGCGTGCCATTTATCGTGTTGGCGATTGAGGAGCTGAGCTCTCCGAGGAACAACGGCATCCCTCTCTCTGCCTGGGCTTCTTCTGCTGCTGCACCCCAGTCCTCTCTGGGTCGTTGCAGACCTGGGGGACTTATATTAGCTATTGCCGCTAGCTTGCTTGCTGGCTGACGAGCCAAGGCTGTGACGCACACCCACAGACATGAGTTCGCTCTGTGCAGAAGATTCTACTTCGTTATCTTCGAACTTGGTGTCGACAGGGACATACTTCGTACAATAACCGACGCACGGAGCATGGTCACAAGATTTTACAATCGGCCCAAGGCTGCGGACCCGATCTCACCCCATGGAAGTTGCACGGCAGCTACATATTGTAATAGTGACTCTCAGCGGCAGTGTCTTTTGTGTTGAGGTCCTCCCTTGAGAGAACCCGATTATCCGGTGCAAAAGCCCTTCACTTCCCTGATCCTTGATCCCGTATTTGAGTTTGGACGTCATGAAGGAGGGGCAGCCGCCTGCGGCCAATCGATATCCGGCGCCACAAAAGCCCTTCAACCCTAGTCCGTGGCCCTTAACCGATCATCTTGTCCTCTCCTATTCGCTAGGTCCCTTAACTTCATTCATGCTCTGTGTGAATGCTTGCATTTCCTTCACATCTTGGCGTCACTTTCTTCTTGAGAATGGAGGCATTGGGTACAGCTTCGTTTGCTGACATAGCCAGCCGCTTGAAGCAGATTTGCTGTACCCTTACTCTCTGTAATACCCCTGGTCTCTTCTCAGCCATGCAAAAGCTTGATCATGCTGGCTTTCCACCCCAGGCTCAATAGAGTGAACATGCTGGTTGAGTGGACGATCGGCCGACGCAATCCATCCAAAGGCATTTTTGTGACGCCTCGACTGCCCTTTTTCGTAGGGAGCTATATTCTTGGTTTTGGCAGAAACCACACAATCGCTTTACATTGGTTTATAGTGAAATCACGCTAATAATACTGTTCATTTGAAGGTTACTAGTATGAATTGCTTTTTCAAAACTGCATTGACTTCTGTTGAACGTGGAAAGTCAGATATATCGGCGGTCGGAACCCCCTCATCCCTACACTACTTACTATCTGTACCACAATCCATGCTCTTGCTATGTCGATCTATGCAGTTTATGAATCGGTCTTCTCATGTCATATATAAACTTGATCTCCCATCTACCTACTTACGGGGTAGTAGCCGCCGAACGTCGTTTTACCCAAACCATATAGATTTTGGCCTTCCACACTGCGCATCAACTTCTTTGCAATCAGGATCATTTCAACCTAATAACAGGTGACTACGCGACAACGCAGCTACATCACAAATCCTCGTTCTACTCAAATCTAGTTTACACACCTGGATGGAGTATGGAGAACCATTACACTTGAATTTAGAATCGTTTGCGGTCTGACAAATATGGGCTAGTAATCTACTATTTGCAACTGCTGTTCGGGTGCCCACGAGGACGTTCTGACGAAGCCTGAAAACATTGAACTCCATCAACCCTGCCGACTACCTGATAACCTGCCTGTTCTCAACAAGCGGGCAAAATGCCGCCCAGGCAATGGGAATCCTTCATATCATCCATATTAGGCTCGGAATCATATTCAAAACCACTTGCCAAACGTATAGATATCCCGATTAACAGCGCAACCACCGAAGAGCAGCTCGCCACATCACAACTAGACCCGTTCTCACAAGCCTCCAAATATGCCCTGGGCTGGGTCTACTTCTGTATTGTACTATTTGTCCTGACGTTTTTCCTCCGCTTATACCAGATATGGGGAGACAAGATCAGAGCTGCCCTTCGAAAAGAAGAATTATTTAGTCCTGGACAAACGCTCTCGCCGCAGTCTGACTATGAATTGGTTACACCCAGTCCCGCAAATTCCCATCGAGCATTTTTCCCTGCAACCGGCCCGCTTGTCCAACCCCCTAAGCAAGACTCAGCTCTTTCCTCTATAGGCTGGGTAAACAACTCGATCGCCTTTGCAAGATGGATATTCTACCGCCCTCTGCCGGTGATAAAGCTTGGAAAGCTTGAATTTGTTCCCCCATCTTTGGCTGCTGCTGTCCTTGTCCTACTTGCCTTCATCTTTGTGACACTATACTGTTTTCTACCTCAGCCTTTGTATTATCCTCACATCACCGACGGATCGCCTCCTCTCGCAATCAGAGCAGGCATGCTTTCTGTTGCGACGCTTCCATGGATCATTGCGCTAAGCACAAAGCCAAATATTATCAGCATGTTTACCGGCATTGGCCACGAACGTTTGAATGTCCTCCACCGCTGGACTGGATATCTGTGCCTTTTCTTAGCCCTAGTCCACATGGTTCCATTCTACATTACTCCGGTCTGGGAGGATGGAGCACTTCCGTTATTCTCCTTGTTTATCGGGGGTGACTACTACATATATGGATCGGGACTTGCTGCTCTAGTGCCGCTGGTCGTCCTTTGCGTTCACTCTCTACCAGCATTGCGGCACCGCATGTACGAACTCTTTGTCACTTTACACATACCAGTTTCCCTGATTTTCATCGCCATGATGTTCTGGCACTGCAATAACTTCCTCACCTCCTGGCATTATTTGATCTCTAGCCTTGCTCTTTGGGGAGTATCATACCTTGCTAGGGTGTTCTATTTAAACTGGTTGAACCCATTCCGCCTTTCGTTCCTCATTGGAGAAGAGTCGGCGGTTACAATTTTACCAGAGAACGCTGTCAAGGTCACAATACTTACCCAAATGAAATGGAGGCCCGGCCAGTACGTATACCTCCGTATGCCGGGAATATCTATGCTTCAAAATCATCCCTTCACCATTGCCTCTCTCTGCAGTGACGACTTTCCATCTAGCTATGGATCCAAATACCGTGATATGACCCTTGTATTTCGACCATTTGGTGGATTTACTAGAAGGGTACTTGAGACAGCGTTGGAAAAAGGGCCCTATAAAACATACAGGGCTTTTATAGATGGGCCCTATGGCGGAGTTCGCAGAGAACTCTCCTCCTTTGATGATGTCGTTTTCTTCGCCGGTGGCAGCGGAATCACTGCAATTGCAAGCCAGCTACTTGACCTAATCAAGAGAATGCGCGATGGAAAAGCCAGAACCAGAACAGTGAAAGTTGTATGGGCTTTGAAGCGACCAGACACCATGGACTGGTTCAAGGAGGAGCTACGCATTTGCCGTGAATGCGCACCGCCCAACTCCATGTTTTGCAATTTCTACCTGACTGGCGCAAAACGATATGACAAAAACGCCGAAGTCGTTTCTCACCCACGTCCACAAAGCGGCGACTTCCACGATAAACTCAATGATGTCTTTCAGGGGGTTGCCAGCAAGAGAAACTCTGCGTATATTCGAGAAGCAGCTGGCGGGGATGAGGACAAAGAAAGAGAGCTGCGAAGGGAGAATGAGGATAGCATCTCTGCGCTGCCAAACGCACACTTAGCCGCTCGTCCACGGATACAGACTGGGCATATTAACCCGTATTTCCCCGAAACGCCCAACTCTATGATGTCTTCCCCAGAGGAGAATGACGGCCCCAATTTTGGGTTTCCTAGCACTCCAACTATGTTACAGAAGAATCTAATGCGCTTTGCCTTTTTCCCAAGGCAGAAAAGGGACGGCTGGAAAACAGAGTATGGCCGGCCGGATATACCGTTTATGTTGAAGCAATTCTCCAAGGACTTTGGTCGACGGACCTGTGTTTTCGTGTGCGGGCCACCGAGCATGCGGGTTGACGTCGCAAATACAGTCGCCAAGCTACAAACTACAGTCATGAATGACCCGAATAAAGATGAATTGTTTTTGCATACTGAAAACTATGCAATTTGAACTTCACACTGCAACCCTCCATTCACCATATACATACCATATCCCATTTTTTTAATTTCTATTTTTTTTTTCCCTTCCTTTCAAATATTGTCTTTACATACACTCTAACGAGAATCTCGATACCACTTTTGCAATGTATATATTCCCAATACCTAGGACTCCAATGATATTATTCCTACTGGCATCAGCTTAGCATTATATTCCGGCTACGGATTTGAAAGTTTTATCTTTCACAAGTAAATATTCAAATTATATTCTCTCGTCTAATTTACGATATGCACAATGGCTGTAGGACCCAGTGTATGGCCGTTGAACAAAGAAACAGATATTTGGGCACCAAAGGGTATCATGCAAGGTTGTAAGTTAAAATTAAGAGAAGGGTATCCTGGAATAAAAAGGGAAATGGATGATATAAGAAGCACCTCTACCGAGTATGTGAAAACAGGGGAGTTTACCCTCTCCGTACCCTTTTAGCATTTTCCCGCCCAAGCTCGCCCTCATCTATAGAGCTACGGCTAACTTGCTGGTAATCGTCTAATTTCTCCCCAGTGGTCAAGTCATGGGCCTCAATTTTCTCCCAGTCCTCATCTTCGTTGCAAGTATGGGTATTATCATCTGTAGTACTCTCTTCGTCCTCCCAAGTCAGCTCTAGCTTGACTATCCGGGCACCTCCGGGGCTCAGGCGACGATAGTACCCTTCGATTACGCCTTCTTCGACTGTGAACCCACGAGCAATATACCAGGACAAGGCCTCATCGTTGGTTTCATGGACATGTGCAGTGACCGTACGGATGTTGTAGTGTTTGACCATATTGGAAACCCGTCGAGGCGATTCTCGTTCCCCTTCATCAGAGGAGGACCTGTCCTTGGAAGTGCCAGGTTCCTCGGCATATATTAGAGAGTCTAACAGGGAGGCTGCTATCCCAGTCCCACGGTAAGGGGAAAGGAGGAGTAGGGTTTGGATATAGAGATTAACCACAGGCCGTAATGCAGTTGCCTTGGCGGTAGAAGAAGGGGAAGGGAGGTTTGCCGGCTCCAGACGACACCGTATGCCACCTATCACCTTGTCCGTTCCGGATGCTGGAGGAGAAGGAGGGGAAGGCAAGCTTTTGGCAGCTAGGTATGCTGTTCCGTAGATAGTTGAAAGAGGATGTTGGTGATATACAGCCACACGCGAGACGGACGCGATGAAAGGATCAGTTATAGTGGCGGTATAGAATGAATTTTGGTATCGAACTGGCAGAAGCAAACCCGTTATTCGCATTAGCGAAGGCACATGCGCAGTCTTGACCCGGCTGATGGTGACATGAGGATGTGGAGTTGATATAGGCGGCGCAACATGAGGGTACGGGGTGAGATTATGGAATGCGGGGTTAGATTTGGCGGGAGAGGAGCATATTGGGGGAGGCGGTACGACAGTATGAGGCTTCATGGGTGGCAGGCCACTCTTAACGGGAGACATCAGCTCTGCTTTATCTGGTCTGTCGGCGTTATGTTGTCCAGAGGCCGCTGGGTTTGTGGTGGGCAGTGCGGAAGGCCGCGATGATCTGGATGCGGAGAACAGACGCGACATGACGGGCCAACGGAGCGCTAACTCGTTAACCGGCTCAGCTAGCTAGTTGCCTGCGCAGAAAGAGAGCTAGCTGGGTGAATAAAAGGACGGAGTAGGACCTGGGGCAGCCGCTGTTATATAGCTATGTAGCTTAGCTAACGCTGTCGGCGCAGCTGGTTGTTTCTCATGACTTGACGTTTGCTTAAGAAAGCAGCAAAAAGTCACCTCGACAGCGCGCGTGGGAGCGTAGTTAGATTGATAAGATAAGATTAAGTTGCAATCACTAGTTAACTAGTTAGTAAGATGACGTAAGCACGCTGGGCAAAAAAAAGAGGACGCAGGAAGGAAAACACCGCAGGCGAAGCCATCAAGAGATGACAATCACGGCGCTGCGCAGTTAGGCCTCTCCTATCCCGATCTTGTGCGTGAGCGATAAAGGACGGCGCTGGTAGGGAGACTCCGGGCACTCTTTGGGTAAACAGCGAGCCCAGGTTTCGCCTGTTAGACAGGTATTACCAGCTCCTCCGCGGGAAGACTCCAGCCTCCCCTTAGCATAGCCCCTTATGCCGAGAACGTTTTCTAATTGCCTGATGCTATAACAGTAGCGATAGACATTGACGACTTGACGCAGTAAACTGGTACCGAGGATTGGATATACAATTCAGTACGTTTCCCGTTCGACAAGTTTCACTGCCGTCCTGCCACTCCAGCTCAGGGCCCGAACCGCTCCTTTGACCCCGGGTACCGAGATTCGGCGGCTACATCACCCACTTCAACGAGCTTGACAGGTACTGCGCTCGGCCTACCATTGCTCCTCAGACTGCTGTCCTTGGATGAAGACAACTGAATGGAAGCATGTCAGGCTGATGTCCTATTTTGGCATTGGCGGACATTGAGTTCTCAATAAGCGGGTTAGTCGATGATGCTATTGTTCACAACACCAATCGGCCAGCACTCGAATTTTCAGCAACAGGCATATTCTTCTTCCCACCATATATAGTTCCCCTCCTCTTGCTTCGTTTACCCTTAAGTCACATAACCCACACTTGCATTTCCAATTTCTTTCAATCCCGGTGGCCGCCATTCTTGATACCTTTTCTAACACTATGGCTTTAATAGACGGAGCTCAAACTATGGCTGGCCCAGAAAAAAGCAAAGAAGCTGCAAAAAGTGATCCTATGTCTCCTACAGATCTTGCCAAATTCGTAAGTGATTCTTTCATCAGAACGGGTCTTGGTTCGGGTTAATTTTTAACACTCCTAGCAGACTCGCCAAATATTAGATGATACGTTTTATAACATAATTCATGATATTGTGGCAAAGGTGCACAAGGAAGAAAAGGTTGCTCGTCAGCAGTCAGCAGTTGTCACTGCAAGACAGCTAGCCGAAGAATCAACCAAGGTCAAAGACTCTGGCGAAGAGGCGAATGGCGCTGCTGATGCTGGCACATCAGCCTCACACGAGCACATAGTAAAAAGCAGAGGAGTTCGACTAGAGACCGACAGCGCCATTTTCGACAGTGGAAAGGTTTACCTAAAGGGTAACCCCTTAGAAACAGTCAAGGAGATAATATGTCCAAATTGCCGTCTCCCCCGCCTGCTATATCCAGCATACGGTGAAGGGTCACGCCCAGTGGATGCAAGCCGAGAATACTGTCGCAAACAACCCCCTGTTAACCTTCATGGAAGGGACGTCCACGGCCACCATTTCGCCGTAGAGAAAATCACAAAGAAGAAGAAAACTCAGCCTGCAGCAGGCACGCCAGGCTCGAGTCCACCATCTATTCCCGAGACTCCTGGCCCCAACCCTCTTCTTCAGCCAAAACCAGACAAGGTTTATGTTCCTACAACCAAATGCCCCAACTGCCCACGGTACTTCCTTCTTACTAAGAGTGCCCAGCACCTTGACAGATGTTTGGGTATCTCAACCCGACAGAGCCGAATTCGTACTCCCCTCGCCAACAGCGAAGCTGGTACACCTGGGCCATCACAGCCTGCGAACGCACGAAAACGTGTACGTGAAGGCGAAGAAGAAGGTGCTGCCGGTCCAGTTAAGAAAAAGAAAGATTTCGGCCTGGCAACGAAACTGAAGAGTCAAAAGCCTGCGGCACCTAGCAAACTGAAGAACGGAACTACTGCAGATACGATCTCAGTAGAAGCTTCAAAACCTCCTGCAAATGGGAAAGCCGGGAAACAAAAAGCATAATTTTCGCTTTTTCCCCGCTCATTATCACGATACCAATATCCAAAACAAAAACTTCCATCTTATCCATCTTTTATTGAGAGTCACCCTGTTTAAAAAAACCTATCAACGACCACGCCACTCTGCATACATAACTGGAGTAACGGCACAACGACCTCTTTCAAATCACTGCGAGTTACCTACCACAAAACTACCAAGCTTTAAAAAAGAAGGACCTAATGGTCTTTCATTTCTTATACCTCTTATCTTCCCTGGAAATTCTACACATACTTCAGCTACCCATCTAATCCATGCGCCATATCGGACAAATCCATCTTAACTATACCATTTCTCATTTCTGTTTAATGCAGCAGGTCAATTTCTCTCTAATGCCGGATGGGATGGCGGGCATCTAACTACAATGGGGGGGGGCGTTTTGGTCAACGGCGCCAAAACATGGCGTTTTTCCCCTTACTACTTTTTTTTTTATTCCATTTGTACCTTTGTCGAACCCTACTTTTTCTCCTTTTCTTTTTCCTTTGTGCTAGTATTTCTCCGTCGCATTTACATGGAATGGGATGTGTTTGTCCTTGAATCTTCACCCTGCACAATGTTGCAGCTTCGTTTGGGAAGATATTGATATTTGCCTAGTTAGATCATTGCGCGCGTCTGGTGTACATTATGGCATTGTTTGAAAGCATGAGCGAGTAAACGTGGCTCAGATGCTTTGTGGACAGCAAAAGAATCAAATGATATGACTTGATATTAAAACATTGCTTTCCAAGTATATGCTTGGTCGTTAAAGGTTATCATTCATTAGTATTAAGGGGGGGGGGGGGGGGGGAGATTAAACAAATAAATATTAAATGAAAGGCTGAGCACTCATATTTGTCTCATGCCAAGTTCGTATTTCTCGTCAATGAGCCTATATCTTGTTCTATCCTTGCGATCCTTGAACAGCATTGCAACACACAAGAGGAGAATGGCATCAATTGCTTATCATAAAAATAGCGTCAGCACATGATCAAACCCACTAGGCAGATACAAAGTCCCAGAGTCGAACGTACCAACAATGCCAAAGGTAGCAGTAGATATATTGCCAAAGAACGAAAACGCATAATCAGACATCGGCCCTATGCAGCCCGGTTTCTGTGCGGCAAGCAGATCCGACATACAAGTTGAATCGTAATGGTATAGTGGCGAGGTACTGTTTTCAAACCCGCAACAATCGAACTAGTTATGCAAAGCCACCGTTAGACCGAGCAGTCACACCAGGTCCAAGATACATAAAAATGACGTACCTTCTTCTGCAGCAGGCCTTGTATGTCACCAGTCTCCCTGGACCACATTGGCTGGAGCGTCGAGCGGGTACGCAGAGCTTCGTACCAAACACTCAGACCCAGGCTGAGGGTGAAGATCCCGCTGAAGACGAGTAGCCAGCCATGAAGACGTAGCCATCTTCCGTTCTGCGGAAACACAATGACCGGTATCGAGCAGAGGAAGGCCGCGAAGACGCAGAGTGCATTGGCAAGGGAGGCTATATACCGATGCACATGTAAGTATTCGTGGTGTTTGGTTGGCAAACTAAGTAGTTAAATATGTGGGTAGCTGAGCAGATGACGAACGGATTATGGGACAACGAGGTATGAGCAGGGACCTCATGACGTTCTCGACGTTTCTTTCATGATGGAGGCTTGCTTCGCCTAGCCTTGAGCCCAGAAGGAGGATGATGCCACTCAGAAGGAAGAGGAGGTCCGCGATCATGTACCCCGTTAGGACCTTGTTGATGGCGAAACCCATGGTAGTTCAGGTGAGCTTATTGCGATGGTGATATGGGTATAGCCGAAAAAGAAGCAGACAAGACGACAGAGGAGATGGGGACAGGAAGAAGCCCATGGTAAATAATATGTTTCCGGCGGTGCTCACTGATGCTTGCTGTGATCTATTGGTAGGACCGGGTTATGTTGGGTGGCGGGTTGCAGGAGCTCGGCGGCTAAATCGTGACAAGGGGGCCTCGGACCAGTCATGTTGTAGCACGGCCATCTTGCACAAAAGACGAGCAACGGAGTACTAAAGGACATTTTGAGTGAAGAGCAGCACGTATTTTTTTTTTTTTTTAAGTATAAATCAGTGAATTATACATCTTGATAAAACCATGCTAAGACCATGATAAGAGCAAGCCAGTATACGCAGAGAGACGGGAACGATCATGGGCGATATAAAAACACGAGGAGACTTGAAATAAGACATGCCTTCGTCCATTTTCCCTTCCGAACGAAACCGATCGGAATATAGAGTGAGATAGATATAAGAGCAAAGAAGCGACCAGATGGAAAAGAGCACGGAACATCGACGGGTAGAAATAGCATGTAAGAGTGCTAAGGAAGAAAGCAAGCAAAGTCAAGGGGGCACACGTTTATCATAAAGAGATACAGAACAAACACCATAACCCCCCACCCTTTCCTGGGTTTCCGATATAAAACCTCCATCCCCGTGTGTAATATGTTTGGTGATAAAGAAAAGATAGGGGAAGAGGGGGGAACGAGGACGATGAAAAAGATGCGGGATAAAAAGTAGACAAGATTGATCTCAAGGGATCCACCGCTGAATTGGTATCATATAACAGTAATCATATCCACTGGGTGTCATAGGTGTTGCGTTCCTGTTGTTAGTTCCGCCGAGAGGAGAAGAGGAGGAGGTCTGAAAGATGAGGAGAGGTACCAGGAGAGGGAGAAAATAGGCCCCTGGTTTGTGTGAGAAGTCGGCGGAACGTTGACCTGAGACGAGACGGCTCGGGAAAGGCTATAACTCTAGAAAGGATATAGAGGTGAAGGAAACAGGAGGGAGACTTTGAGACGGTGTCGAAGAGAAGGACAGGCGAGTATTCCCATGGGTTTCCTTCTATACAGGCTGTAGGAAAAAAAAAAAAAAAAAAAAGATGTTGCCTCGGCCGGTCTAGAAATTCGCGGCCAAGGAAGAAAGTAGGAGATGTGAGAATCGTGTTTTTTCTTTTGAGATGAGAGGTGACAAGTTTGCTTTCCCTTTTTAGTATTCTGCATGGAACAGAGTTAGTGAGGGATAGAAAAGGAAAGAAAAAGAAGGAATCAAGAAGTGAGAAGAAGGTCAAGTGGTGGTGGTGGTGGACTGCTGCGGCATACGCGTACCAGCGGGCACGCCCGAATACTGACCTCCAGCCTGTGCTTGCTGCTGCTGCTGCTGCTGCTGTTGAAGATTCTGATAGTACGCAATCTGGTGTTGCTGCTCGTTGGTCATGCCACCCATGTTGTATCCTGGATGCAGTGGACGGGGCGGTATGGCGGCGGCCTGCTGCTGGGCAGCGACGGTGGCCTGGGCGACCTCGTCTGGTGAGTCTGCTGGCACCTCTGGCGCCTCGACTCCGTTCTCTGTCCCCGTAGGCTCTTGGGCGTTCAAACAGCGCTGTATCGGTTAGTCGTAGCTCATGATAAGGTGGGTGTGCCACGGGCGGCGTACCTGGATGAGGTTCTTGCCCTCGGACTGGGTGACGAGCGGCTGTAGCTTGGGTGTTGTGAATGTGTAGACAAGCCCAGTCTCAGACACGACAAGAAGCAGGACCTGCGTGCCCGTCAAGACCGACAATTCGTATGCCTATCGAACATATTAGTCTGGATTGTATATTATATATGTATGCATATGGGTGTGTGTGCGCGAGATGTGATCGTGATGGAGATGGAGATGGCGATGGGGACGCGGTGATCTAGATCTGCCAACAACCAACCTTCTTCATGATGCCGGCCTTTCGCTTGGAGAAGGTGATGTGACGGCGGGACTTGTCCTGGATGAACTTGATCTCTATCTTGCGACGCTCGCGGCCGGGCTTGTCATCATCGTCGTCGTCGTCGTCGGCCGCAGGACGCGGCCGCTTGCGAGAGTCGAGGGAGGCCGATCCGTTGCCGGACGGAGGGACGAGGTCGTCCTGCGAGGGCGAGGGATTCTCCTGGGGCACCGCGGCGACGTCGGCCATGGCGATGAGCGGTCCTGCGCGGCGAGCTGGCTGCGTTCTCTGCTGGCCGGGGGAAGCGAGTCTGTCGTGAGTCTGCTGTCGCGACTCTGCGGTCGGTGGTTGCTGGTTTGCTGGTTTGCTGGTGCTGGTTGCTGCTGTTCCCAAAGAGGTATGATGTTTGGCGGGCGAAAAGGGACGGGCGGCCGAATCGAGTAACGCGCTGGGGTGGGAAGAGTGACAGGTTTGGGTAAGGTCGGGAGTAAAAGAGGGAAAAAAGGGCGAAAAGGGCGACGAGCAGGCGAAGAAATAGGAAAAGCGCCAGGGCGGGCGGCCGGCGAAGGGGGGCGCTCACCGCCTGCCTAGTTCTGACACGGAAGATCGTCGGCGCGGTTCTGCCGCCGTATCGCCCGCTGTGACGCCGCGCTCAGGGCGGTACCGTATTACGGTGGCGTTTTGTTACGACGGCTTATATAATACAGCTATTTGATGCTATTTATAGCCACGCTCTATTTGCCACGCAAGGGGAAAAAAAAAAAAAGGAGTAAGTCTAGCCATTATTATTATATTAAAAGAGGATAGAGTTACAGGAAGATACACTGGGTTCGGCGACAGGTGGGTGTACACACATAGCAGACAGCTCGACATCTGAGTTAGCGTCGAGGGTCGAGTCGAGAGCCGGAGGGCGCGCGCGGGAAGACAAAGATCGGCGTTTCACCAGCTGCGCCTCCTGCTGAGCATGCAGAACCCTCAAACACGCCGCGGCCCTCTCAAAGTCTCAAAGACCTCTGCCTTCTGGAAGGAAGCGCTTCTGGGATGACGGGGGACACGGGAACTAGGCCGGTTCTGTCCTGGCTGGAGGGCCCGGGGCCTCGTCTCTGCGTGCTCCTTGCTCGTCTCCCCATCTCGCTTTGCTGCCCGTCTGGTTCAGATCTGCTCCGCCTGGAGATCTCCTTGCTTTTCTGCACTCCTTTTAGCGTCGGGTGGGCCAGCGATCAAGCGATCAGGCCCTTTTTTTCCGCCTTCGTATTCTTGCAGGACAGCGCGAAAGGCGAGAAAGCTGAAGAGAAGCTGAACAATAAGAAGCCGAAAGGCTGTTGTCCCGCTTACATAAGGAAGTAACCAGTGCTGAGGTAAGCAAAGTCTAATTCTCTGTTGGTCAACTCGTCTTGGCGCTTGCCTTCCTTTTTGCCTCGGCTGTTTAGGCAATTGAGGAGGAACCTTTGGGCAAAGCGGTTACAGGACAGGCAGGCTTATGGAGGGCTGTTTATTTTCATGTCTCATTATAAGTGCAGAAAAGACCGTATCATTATTACTGTCATAGAATGTAGAAGGAAAAGAACATCATCAGGGCCAGCCCTTAGCCTCGAGGTCGCAGATGCTGAGATGTTCATCTAGTCATCATATTCGCATTCAGTCTCGGTGCCAGCATCGGGGGCCTCGCTCTCTTGAGCACCGTTATGCCACCACTGCAGGCAAACAGGCTTTTCTATCTCCAGCGTAGACTTGGCCTCCGGAGTCACCTTTCCGGTCTGAGGGTCAAGTGCAAATACCTTGATGTCGTTCGAATTCTGGCCTTCGGTCACAAACCACTTGCCGCTAGGGTGGATAGACATGTGTCGTATGTTCTCCACGCCGCCGTTGAAGATTTCAAGCAGCTTCAGCTTGCCGGTCATCTGGTCAATGGTATACGAAGCGACGGAGCTGGAGCCAGGGAAGACCTTGTCAAGCCGGTTGGAGGCATACAGGTGTTTACCCGATGGCGAGAGGATGAGTTCGCCCGCCGCCCCCGTCTGCCCGTCTGGAAGCGTAGATAGGGTTTGGATCTCGGTAAGCTTGATCGTTTCAACCGTGTATTCGACAGACATCGCGGTCACCGTGTTGGAAAGCTCGCCCACGACATAGTAAAACCGAGGCTTGTCCGCGGCTGGATACAGCACTCCATGGCGAGGCCCGGTCCCCGGTTTTACCTTGTTGGGAGGTGCGACGCTGAGTTTCTGTCCTGCGTCTACCTTGAGGATGCGGATCAGGTCTGAGCCCAAGTCCGGCATAAGAACGAACTTGCCGGTTGGGTCGAAGAGCGCCTGGTGCGGGTGAGGAGCGTCCTGCCGGTCTGGTACCTTCCCCTTGCCTTGCATTTTAAACATAAAGTCTCCCAGGTGGGTGAACTCGCCGTTATCCTTTGAAGAGTACGCTGAAGCACTCGCTGAGCCACTAGTTTATCGTTGAATTAGTACATACACAAATGTACACGGCATGTATAATAGTCAACTTACTAGTTTGCAGTGATGATTATAGGCTGGGTAGGGTGCATGTCCAAGGAGACAGGTCCTGCCAGCCCCTTGATAGACTTCAGCTTCTTCAGCTTCCCATCCTGGCCGATAGAGTAGCTCGTCAAGGCATGTTCAGTCGATGTCTCTTCGATAGAATATAGCAACTTGCCGTCCCTCGAGACTTCCTGCCATGACGGCGTGCTGGAATCTGTGTTGTTTCCGGTAACCTTGAAGGTTCCAGTCTTGGTATCAAAGCTAACAGTTGCTATGGCGTTGGCGTTGCTGCCCACAAATGCAATGTTCTGCGCCACTATTCCAGACGTCAACATTCCTGCCTGGAGCAACGAGAGAAATGGCACAGTCTTCATGGTGAGTCGAAGTTTGGTAATGCGGGGTGGAGATACCTATGACGGAGGTAAGAAAGTGTTCTTCTTTCTTTATTTCAAAAGAAAAAGAAAGCTGCGAGACGTGGTTGGGTTATATAGAGCTGTGGAATGGGAAAAGGCACAGTGACATTCGATCTCACTTACATACTAACTAACTATAGAATGTTCGGTGAATATCTCTCTGTTATACGAGCCTTTTCACTGCATAAACTAGTAGTCGGTCAGCCAGGTTGTCTTTGTGGTGAAGTTGTAAGTTACAGGGCAGTTGTCGCTCGATGAAAGGATGTGTCACTCTACCAACTGGCAAATAGCAAAACCTGAAGCCTTCTCTTTGGCGCTGGACTATGCAAATATCAAACACACTTGTGGTCAATGCTGGATGGTTAGGGCGCCAGAAGCTGGAAACTTTGGCCAATCGATTGAATTCTGAGCTTGCTGTGGAGTCTCAGGGAGCCCCTGCACGGTTAAACTTGATATTAACTAGAAAGGGGTGACTGGTTTCAGGTTCGTTTCATTGCCTCAAACCATACAGCGAATGATAGTTACAGAGTCGCCCAAATGATATTTCATCCTCGCTTTGGACAGACAGGCTTTGCAGACTGCTTGTGTTGAAAGTTGCTGAGATAGCTGGGGTTGTGGTGCATGGGCCGACCAAATGCTCCGCCCTTAGATCTATAGGCACAAACACAATATCTATTATATCACAAACATAATATAAGTCGTCTGAGCAGGGGATGCATTCCATAACTATACATCCCATAAATTGTCGGGTTTGATAGTTACGAAGAAGCAGCCATTCTTGACAACAGGTCACCTACAACTTAAGGCATAGAAAGGCGTCTATTGAATTATCCGAGGAATATCTACTCGTTAAATACATACAATATTTGGGGTATTAAGGCAAAGAAGGTCATCTTTTTCACTCCGCTCATCATCGGGGACATCTCTGTCAGTTCAGCACACAAAGACCCCCGGTGTTGAAACGATCATATATGAGTACACATTACAGCCAGGGCGCAGAAAATCTCAAATGTCGAATGTGCAACTAGGCTCAGATAAAGGTGTCTGGCCTCGAGATGCAGCACTGTCTAGATGGAACTAAGATCCCTCTGCAAAATTTGCTCTTTTGGGATCTGTCAATTTTCTGCCATCCCGGTCATTGCCTGTAGGCACCGTTGTCTCACTGGACGTTCCCCAGAGAGAAAATAAACGTCTATGGCCGGTCGAAACGGAGGTTGTGCTCTTACGCCGTTGTCGTTTTGACGCTCGACGGGGCCACGATGGAGAGTCTTGAGGGAGGAGAGCCGAGCGAGCAAGTAGCTCTCGACGGCCACCGAGGTCACCATCGTTCTGGTCGTCTCGGAGCTCTGCCAAAATCTCTGCAGTTTCTAGGCCTGGGTTGGTGGAACGTCTGTGTGAAAAGGTGGAGGCTCGATATGGGTGGTTGAAGGGACTGGAAGGTTGTCGGAGACGGGGTGTATGATGTAGTAGAGGTTGACGTTCGCCCAGATATGATTCTTCGTCACCGGGATGTGTGAAATCAGCGTATGTTGCAGCGGAGGTATCTGGTTCCTCCATTAAACCAAGACCAGGGCCTATAGCGCTTGTTGGAGGAGGCACGGCAGCCTGTCCGGGATGCGTAGGGGATTCTTCCAATCTCCAGGAAAGGCAAAGTACCCCGGACAGTAGAATAACCGTTCCAAGGGCTATCAATCCAGCATGAAGCCCGGAAAGTTGGGAGGCCTGGTGAAAATATATTAAGCCATCTAGAATGGCGATTATGTTGTAAACGCAAAACACATAAGGATATAAGACACTTGTACTGCACAACTTCAGGCCACGGTGCATATAGTACATCTGAGTCAGGGCCAAAGCGACGAGCGCAAGCAGGATGATCCAAGACTGCCAAAAGACAAACTGGTTGTCCTGATCCGAAATCGTTCGTACAACCAGCTCGACTGCAGATTTTGCAAGGAGAAGGCAGTGGGCTGATAGGATACCACTGAGTGATCCGTATATCATCCCACGTACTAGCTTTATCCTGGGACTGTGATGGAGGTGTGGAGACCAAATGGACATATATCCCCTTGCCTGGGCAGGTGTAGGGGACACCTTCAAGGCACGAGCTCCTAGGACTAAAAGCAGAACAACCACGCCCGTTCCAGCCATCCAGTGGAGGAACGCAGGCCGAACAAGGAGTTTAAGTAGTTGATCCAAAGTGTGGGCGGGTTCACCAATAGCTCCAAATGTGGCAATCAGAATAGCGCCAGCGCATACTAGACATGTTCCGATTACTGAGTACCGCGTGAACGGCTCCCCAAGGATCAAAGTTGCAAATATGGTATTAAAAACAAGGCCGGACTGAGAAGTGATAATGTTAGTTCATAGCTCGAAGGATTTGAAGAATAAAGGGGGTACGGAGACGCACAGCTTGTAGGGTAGACAGGACTGGTAGAGGCAGCGTCGTAATCTGTATAGTGCTCCCAACGATATTGGCACTGACGAACATGAACATTCCGATCTATATCGTCCACCGTCAGCGTCCGTCGTGTCAATTTGCTTGTTTATCTCTGTGTATATTCAACCAAAGAATCGAGGCGATGTCCCCACTAACCTGCCATCTTCTCCGTTTAAAGGCCGGTCGGCGCGTGTCGTAGGGAAACTTCTCATCTTCAAGTATATGCGATTTCCGTTGCAGCGTAAGTCCGACAGCCTGCAAACTCGTTGATATCACTCCGACCAGTACGCCGATCTAAACGTCCAGTCGCAAGTCGCATCAGCAATAAGCCCCTCAAACAGATCTCTGAACGAGGCAAAAACGTACTATTATGCCCCCTGTAGGCGACAGGTGACCGAGGCCCATCTCGAATATCCCCATGCATTGGTTATTCAACTCGAGAAAAGGGGAAAAGACAGTGAAGCTGGTATGACTTCCGTGTGTGCGTAGCTGCTGGCTACTGACTGGCGAGGGCCATGGTGGAGGCGAGGCGGCGCGCGAGAGTCGATGAGCGAGTTATATTTATGTTATATGCTAGCAGGATGAGACAGAAGTGCAGAGGATGGCCGTGAGGGCATGGCCGGGTGATAGCTGCAACTGCGCTGGGTGATGTGTCGAGGTGATGCTGGCGAGGACGTTGGATGCTGGTCGTTCGAGCAGCTCGCCGTGGTTGGGAAGCAGAGCAGGTGACGCTCCACCACCGGGCCCCGTCCACTCTCGTCGCTCGCTGACTTCCAACGTCAACATCAACATCGCCTTCCCATCGAGCAACGACGGCAGCAGAATAACAACGACCTGACAGCCAGCATCTCCGTTCTGCTGACCAGCAATTGTGCTCTGTAAAAGATACCGGCCGGAAGGATTTCACTCAGGTATTTACAGAGCTGCGTTCTCTTTGGTTTTGCTGGTCGACTTTCTCGCTAACAGCTTTGGCTTGTTGCCTTCCAGCTTTAACATCCTACCTATCTACGACCACTGCATATAACCCGTCCATTGCATTCAAAATGTCTCAAAGCCATGCCCTTTCAGACGACCAGGTACGTGTTTCCCGCGCGGGGCTCGGTTATCCATTAGTCAAGTTGCTTTGACGCTGATGGCTGGTGCTTTCATCGCATGTAGGTCGCGGGCGAGCTCCGCAAGATGACCGCCTTCATCCGACAGGAAGCTCTCGAGAAGGCCAGAGAGATCAATCTCAAGGCGGATGAAGAATTTGCCATCGAGAAATCGAAACTTGTACGACAGGAGATTGCTTCTATCGACCAGCTGTACGAGAAGAAGTTCAAGCAGGCGAGCATGTCGCAGCAGATCACCAAGTCTACCCTTGCCAACAAGACTCGTCTACGGGTCCTCTCGGCTAGACAGCAACTCCTGGACGAATTGTTCGAGCGGGCCAGAGGAGAGGTTACCACTGCTGCCACGGGAAAGAAGGGTGCCAACTACGAGAAGACACTGGCCGGCCTTATTCTAGAGGGACTCTACGCTTTGAACGAGAGCAAAGTGCAGGTTAGAGCCAGAAAAGCTGATTATGCTGCTGTCAGAAAGGCCGCCGAGAATGCTTCCAAGGAGTTCAAGGATAAAGTTGGAAGGGAAGCCACCGTTGAGATCGATGAGCGTGAACCACTCGCTCAAGACTCGTATGTCTAGTTCCCCTTGTTACTTGGAATGGGTAGATTTGCTAACAGTGTACAATCTAGTGCTGGTGGTGTTATCATTCTCGGAAGCAATGGGAAAATTGAATATAATAACACACTCGAAGAGCGTCTGAGATTACTGGAGGCAGATTCCCTACCCACAGTCAGAGAGATGCTCTTCGGCAAGAACGCCAATCGCAAGTTCTACGATTAATTTGTCCCTGGTGTTTCGACCCTGTTTTTCCTTTTCTTTTTTGAGCATTGCGCGGGCTTTCACACCCCTCCTCCCTTTTTTTCGATTTGTATTCTCTGATCTCGCCGCCATCGTCACAGTCAGCTAGCTGTCAGCCACCATTGTACCTCCCAACCTTGACGGGGCTCTCCATCCCTCAATTGAACACTAGAAGCATGCCAGATGTATACCTCACTCTAGCTGCAGCCGTTCTTGGATCCAATGACCATTTAGAATATTGCTATCGCTTGTATTTTATTCTACACATCCGCCCAGCCCCTCCCGCTTTGGTATCATGGCTCTTCATCTATATATATACCATGGAAGTGGCAGAAATGCCCAATATCATCTCACATATCTTCATAGGCTGTTGCTTTTATCTGACTCCGAGAAACTTTTCCAAAATATCCCTCTTTCCACTACCACCGGCGGAGTCATCGTCATTCGAGGAAACAAAATAGGACTTCTTCAGGACAGGCTTAGTCCTCACAGTATAGACAAGCCGATAATGAAGTGCTTGCAGGCTTTCCTTGGCCTCAGTGCGTTTCATATGTGAGGCACCAGAATCCTGAATAGCAGTAAATATAGCCTTCACTCGATCTGCAAGTTTATCGACCTGTTTATTGAATTCAATCTCCTCCTCCCTATCTAAGAAAGAACGCTGTAGGGTCCCTGAGTCAATCGCAACGTCAAGTATTGTGGTTAAAGCAGCTAAGCTGGCAAAGTCAAATGGCTCCTTGTCTTCAGGCCGATGTTCGTTAACTTTAAATCGTTCACCTTTCAATTGTGAGCTGATTTTCCGTAGATTGATCAACTCAGCGTCCGACTTATCGAGTGGCGAGCTATCCATGAACAGAAAGGTGGATGCCAGACGACACCTGAACAGGGCAATCTCTGGGGTTATTGGGGGTATATTTCTAAGAAGAAGACATTGGAGAGTTGTGTCTTTGATTGTTTGATATGTATTTTGGGCCAACTCGTGGGCCTGGAAATAGTTAGCCTACCAACTGAGAAGCAAAGTTATTGGAAGACATACGTTAGCCTCTGGTAGAGCAGAAGATCTTGACTGGCCGAATAACGCAGGAATTGCTCGTCGTGCCTCAGCACAGACCGCTCCATCATTCATGACAGTTTCGTCGAGCGCTAAGCGAAATAGGATCTTCAACGTATGTTCACGAGTCAAAGCATTTAGTCTACGGATACAGTTATTAGCAGGAAGGCAAGGAAAGACAAATGAGGATGATGGACTCACTTTTCAGCTACGTTGGAAAGCAGTGCTAAAACAGATAATAAATATTTCCTGTCTATGGGGGGTGATGACTCTGTAAAAATGTTATCAGAAGAATCAACCCTCTGAACTTTAGTGTAAGGGGATAGCTCACCTTCTTCATCAACATTACGAGTATCAGGCACTAGAGGCTCTGAAGCATCTAGTGCGCTACTTTTCGCCCCCAACGTTGCAAACAAGCGATCAATATGCGAAGGTTGGACGAGAGAAGCTATTAGATATTCAGGAGAAACCTAAGCGTATTATTACCTAGGGTTTAACCTATGTAGGAAGGTAGGCTTAGACTAACGAACCTGAAGAGTACTGATATATGCAAACCGAAGTTCATCTCGTGGTTCCGTAGCCACTAGTTGCCTGTTAGCAATGCACATAATCAATACTTCATTTTTTGGTATAGGAGTTCACACCTGACTGTAGAATCCAGAGTAAAACATCATTCTGTAAGGGCATGTATTTTAGCACTTCCCCAACCACACCTGATAGAAACGCTCTATCACGAGAAGAAGGTTCTATTGCGGATTTTAGTATGATAGAAAAGATAATGCACGACAAGTAGTAGACGACATCTCACCTCTGAGGATACCCTCCCAAGACTCAGGATCTACTGACAAGATTGGGAAAGGCTCAACATCGACTGTTGGCGGATCATAGCGAAAGAAGGACCAACTTATGCCTTGTCGAAGGGCCTCTGTCCGCAACACTGCATCCTTCAGTCGCCGAACAGCAACTGGATCCGAGGCATCTGAAACTAAAGAGGCATATATATCATCTTTATCAGCGGGGTTCTTGCCCTTGGTTTTGTATTTGCCCATGGATTCCTGGATGAGCACTTTTGCAGCCGACACCTGGGCCTCTCTCTCCTTGTCGTGCATGGCATCTGCTACGAGGTCATCTAGGGAGAACTTATGTGTTGTTCTGGCCGTTGCTGTCTGGGCTTCCTTGGACTTGGGCTTAGGTTTGGCCCTCGAGCCCTTCCGGCCCTTTGAACCAGACATGTCTGTATCTGAGCCTTCTTCATTCTGGCCCGAGGTGCCCAAGAACTTAGCCAGCAGCTCATCCGTAGAGATGGCAATTGAATTAATAGAGTAGTCATCATCATCGTCGTCAGATGCTGTGATCACAATCTGCCCGTCTTTGAACACCCGCTGGGAGCCGGGAACAGTGGTGAACGACGAGGCAGCTGGCTCATCCATGGGAGTGTGCTGGCGATGGCTTGTCTCGGCAGCACCAGAGCTATCATTCCTTGAGCGATCTTGCAGTATAACCTGCTCCTGCTTGGGCTCTGAGAGAGAAGAGGTAAGCTGGACGGGGGATGAGAGGTCTGGCGGGCAAGAAGTCAGTGGTGACGAAGAGCCGGGCCCATCTTTGATGCTGGGCCGTTTCACGCCGGCTACAGGGTGTGGCTCTGAAGAAGACTCTGCGGGCTTGAAATAGAAGGATATCTTGTGATTTTCTTTCATTATATAGGATTTCTTTGCTCTTATAGTCGGCTTTTTGGCTCTTCTTTTGGACGTTCGAGACGCGCTTTCACGAGAACCTTAAGAGATATCACGTGATACTAATTAATTGATGTTGGGCTACTAAGTATTTTTCCGAGACTAAATATAATACCTAAGTACAACTCTATTAGATATGGTAATAGCTAATGGTTATATATATATATAGATAAAGCTTCTAATATTACAATAATTTATTAATTAGTCTTCTAGACTTCCGCGGCGTGATCCAAGGAAGTTGGTCACTTACAGTCATCTTAACTTTTTAAAGTTTCGCTCAGCTGAGTTAAGCGCAGGGGTCAGATGAGCTACATCCTGTCTCTCCCTCTTCGTTTTGACAGCTTTCAACTACTGGTATCTTCGTTTTTGATCTTAAGATCGTGCACAGGGATACGAGCGGACGTAGATAGTCTGGAATTAAAAGCTATGAATTGGCCTGGCGAGGGGTTTATGCGTCGGATGTCGACATCGAAGAGTACCTAAGACTTGTTTTTGTCAAGTTGGCGGATCTCTAGGGGCTTCTTGAGAGTATGCAAGCCAATATATATAACCTTCTGTATCAGCTACTTCGAGCGCTCTGTACTGCAATCTCTTTTTTGCTTTCTCGCCCTCCGCTGCTCTTCCGCGTAACAGCTGCGACCTTAGAAGATAGCTAGCAAGCGGAAGCATGAGCTGTCTATAAGTTGTGATGTCAGTATTGTTATGAAACGCACGAAACACCGCACTGATCAATTGCATACCCTGTTTGAACAGCAAACAAATCCATCAAGTACGCCTTACTCGATAGCTGCTTGTCAGACGGGCGTGTGTACGACTCTTGACTGCTAAGATACTAGCCTAGCATATCAGATTGATACACAATGAAGACTATCTGCAAGTCGTAAGTAAAAGCCACATGTCTAAGAGAGAGCATATCAATCAAAGATCAACAGAAGGAGCCTAAGGATTAATACCGCAAGCTCAAAGGATGATGTTTCCGAGCGGAGATTCCTTGGAGGAGGAGAAGGCTGCCAAAAAGAACTGGAGACACACTGAGCCCCTTCTCCAGCCATTTTAGATTGGACACTCGCCATGCGAAGTATAGGATATCACACCAAAGATGGTGACCCTCTCGAAGTAATATCTGCTCCATAAATGTCGGCAAGAAAAACGTCATAGCCAAGTAGTTAACGGGTAGGAAAAAACCCGAGCCGCCTCAACCGTCACAAGCATGGCCGCAGGGTCGGACAGAGCGGCTTTAAGAATGGAGAGCAGCAGGCTGGCGATCCGTACATGAGATACGAGGCACAGCACGACACTGGTCCACACACATACGCACTGAGTCTTGGTTGAACGCGCAATAATTCGGATCGCCGTTTCAAGTTGATGGCAGCCTCAAACCGCGCAAGAAGCACGAGATATGCTGCAGCCCAAGCGGAAGAAACACGAAGCAATTTAACCAAGCCCAACTCCTCCATCCGCAGTTACACTGTACCGCAAGACCCCCAGCAGCGATAGGCGAAGCGCACTGATACGGAGATTGTGCCGTAGCAGTTCTTCTTCGCATTTCCTCGCATTCCTGATGTTCGCGCTAGTTGATTTCTGCATGGAATTATCCAATTTTTAATGTTTTGCCAGGAGGATCTCTTCGCTAACGAGGTTAATAATCAAGCCGCTGAGGTGGAAGGCCGAGCGAGACAGACGAAGCCTCCACAATTGGCGGCTGAGCCGGTCGTTCCGTTAAGGTGTTCTTCTGGGAAGGCCGGCAGCAAAGATGGCGTTGGTGATGTGTCGGCTGGCTGTCTGTCCGGCTGTCTGCCTGCCTGCCTGGCAGCGGGCTCTGAGATAACAATAACAGATAACAATAATGCGATGCATGTGTAAGGAACGGACGCAAGCATGGCCAGGGAGCGAATGGCGGATGGATGCATGATCCCTGGCGCGGCATCACCCCTGATGCGAGTTCGCGGATGGTGTTTTGCTTGTTTTATTTCCCCATACTCGCTGCCACCGGCCATGGCGACGACAGATATCGAGAACTCCGCCAGCCCGCAGCCAGCCAGCCAGCCCGACAGACGGACGGACAGGCCATGGGCCATCCACGCCGTGGCCGAGGTTGAACAGCGCAGTCTCGGATGGATCACAGGGCGGCTGTCGGCGTCACGGTGGTTAGCCAGCAGCATCACATCACAACGCCGACGCAGTAGCAGTAGCAGCAACAGCAACAGCAACAGATAGCAGACATACATCTAGTGTAGCGGGCAGACATATCCTGACTCCGTACCAGGCCAGCCTTCCGCAGGCACACCAGCAGCGCAGGGAGGATGAGCCCGGCCCGCCGCCCCCTTGCGCCCAGTCGGAGCCTGGAGCTCGCTGCTAAGCCGCTGGAGAAGTGGACAAGTAATCAACAGCCAGCGCGAGGGTCGCTGTAACTCACTGGCCAGGCAGAGCCCACCGCCAGCTGAGCTCCAACTCTGGGTCGTCTCCGTAATTCTTCGTCTTCGTCTTCGTCTTCGTTTCTTCGTCTTCGGCCTCGTCCTCGCATCGTCTGCACCGGCCGCCCTCGTTTTTTACCCTCCGCCGCGACGGAGACATCGGATTGGAACCTGGAGCTGCTGATTATTGTTTTTCCTGTGCCGCTTGTACCTGAGGTCTCTCCTGCGCTGGCGGTCTTTCTTGTTGTCTCTTCTCAGTCTCTGTCGTCTCCAAAGGTTTCTGTGGCCACCACGCATCATCATCACCACCACGACCACCGCCGCCGCCGCTTGCCTGCCTACCACCGGCCTCGCGCTCCCGCCAGACGGTGCTCTCGCCAAAGAACTCGCGCTTCTCGCTCTCAGTCAAAAAAGTCAGTCGGCCCTGCAGCTGGCTCTGGTCGGCCCCCAGACGCTGCGAATTCGCCCTATGGACCCGTCGGTCTCGCAGCTGCTGCTCTCCTGAACCATCGTCCCTTTCCCTTTCTCCCCTGGTCCACACGCTCCCTGCGTACGACTGCCGGATCAATTCTCAAAGGCCTCGCGGGAGCCCTGTCAGGCTGCCTTGCTGTCTGCTGCTCTCTTCCTGGCCGTCGTGGTCGTTCCCTACTCTTCCGGTGCTGTCTCTATACCCTCTTCGCCTGCTTTTTATCTACACCACCGCCTCTTCTCTCTCTCTCTCTCTCTCTCTCTCGTACCTCTACACTCCGGCGCAGGCTCGACTACTTGAATCAACAAACAGACAAGGATACGAAAAAAGGATACGATACGAAAAGAAGAAGAAGAGAAAAAAAAAAAAAAAAAAGAGAGAGAGAGAAAAAGGACCAGTTGGACGGCCGTACTCTATGCAATATCTAAGAAGAAGCTAGAACGCCATGGCCGTGGTTCAGTTTGGAAGCGAAGATGAGTCGAACGTATCGAAACCGTCGAAGCGGATGCGATGGGCCACCCAGCGTCGTCCCGGCCGGCAAGGCTCGAGAAAGCGAACTTCGATCATGGACAAGCTGCACCAGCGAGCAGGTTCAAAGGACGAGAAGCGGAGGTCCAACACCAGCAGCCTCCCCAATGGCAGCGAGCCCTCGGATGCCTCTGATGAGGCCGAAAGACGGCGGATCTATGTCAACGTACCGCCGCCGCCTCACCAGAGAGACGAGAACGGCAAGTCGACCATAACTTTTGGACGGAACAAGGTCCGGACAGCAAAGTACACTCCTCTCAGCTTCATCCCGAAGAACCTGTACTACCAATTTCACAATATGGCCAATGTTTACTTCCTGTTCATCATCATCCTCAGTGTGAGTGTTTCCCCTTTCATTTGCCATCACAATATCTTTTTTTCTTTTCTTTTTATATATATTTTCCCTTGTATCCAAGACTGACAATTTGTGATCTGTTGCACTGGTGCAGATTTTCTCCTTTTTCGGTGCCACCAACCCTGGCCTGGGAGCAGTGCCACTTATTTCCATTCTGACGGTTACCGCGTTGAAAGATGGTGTTGAAGACTGGCGAAGGACAGTTCTGGATAACGATTTGAATAACTCGCCCATTCACCGCCTGGTAGGCTGGAACAACGTCAATTCTACCGAGGATAACGTATCACTATGGCGTCGGATCAAGAAGGCGACGACGAGGGGGATTCGGCGGGCCTGGAAGTGGTTCAAGCGTGTGAGAAAGGGCGAAAAGCCCGAGCCCAAACCAGTCGTGGAGGATACGCCGCGAATGTCGATCGCTACTCAACGACCCGAGTTCCGCAATTCAACCTATTCCTACCGACCGTCCTACCAGGCAGACCGTCCTGGAAATGACAGCGAAGACATCCAAATGACGCCCCTCCCATCCCCAGGTGCAAATGGAAACGGTAAAGCCGAATCACGCGCTCCTCCTCCTTTCAATGAGACTCCAATGTCACACCCAGCCAAGTTCTACGGCAGTATTCTGAACAAGTCATGGCAACCGTCTGGATCTGCCAGATTTAAACGCGACTACTGGAAGAACGTAGAAGTAGGTGACTTTATCCGAATTTACAATGGAGAGCAGATTCCAGCTGATGTGGTGGTCCTGTCTACCTCTGACCCGGACGGTGGCTGCTACGTTGAAACCAAGAATCTCGATGGAGAAACAAACTTGAAAGTGCGACAGGCACTCCACTGCGGACGTGCTGTCAAACACGCGAGAGATTGTGAAGCTGCCCAATTCGTCATCGAGAGCGAGCAACCGCATCCCAACCTTTACCAGTACAACGGTGCGATCAAGTGGTCGCAGGCTAACCCTGATTACCCGGACTCCCCTGAAAAAGAGATGGTGGAAGCAATCACCATCAACAATGTCTTGCTTCGTGGCTGCAACTTGCGAAACACTGAATGGGTCCTTGCAGTTGTCATCTTCACTGGCCTACAAACGAAGATTATGCTCAATACTGGCGTCAGCCCACGCAAAACCGCGCGGCTCGCAAAGGATCTCAATTGGAACGTCGTCTACAATTTTATCATTCTCTTTGCCATGTGTCTTACTTCGGGTATCGTGCAGGGAGCTACGTGGGCCCAAGGTGACAATTCTTTGGACTGGTTCGAGTATGGGTCTTATGGCGGCAAACCCAGTGTCGATGGAATCATTACATTCTGGGCATCCCTTATCCTGTTCCAGAACCTTGTCCCGATCTCTCTTTTTGTCTCCCTTGAGATCGTTCGTACTCTCCAGGCCGTCTTCATTCACAGTGATACCTTCATGTACTATGAAAAACTAGAATACCCCTGCACCCCCAAATCTTGGAATATCTCGGATGATCTTGGCCAGATTGAATATATCTTCTCCGACAAGACCGGTACCTTGACCCAGAATATCATGGAGTTCAAGAAATGCACTATCAATGGTGTTTCTTATGGCGAGGCCTACACAGAAGCACAGGCTGGAATGCAGCGCAGACAAGGAATCAATGTGGAAGAAGTATCCAGAAAGGCCAAAGAAGAGATAGCGCAGTCTAGAGCCTCAATGTTGAAGCAGCTCAGAGCTATTCACGACAACCCGTATCTCCACGATGATGAATTAACCTTTGTGTCTTCGAACTTTGTCTCCGATCTCACCGGCTCATCGGGCGAGGAACAGAGGGACGCTGTTACCAACTTCATGATTGCTCTCGCTTTATGCCATACTGTCATCACAGAACGTACACCGGGTGACCCACCCAGAATTGATTTCAAGGCTCAATCTCCAGATGAAGCCGCTCTCGTATCTACAGCGCGAGACTGCGGTTTCACCGTACTTGGCCGATCCGGCGATGATATCCGACTGAATGTCATGGGCGAGGAACGACGATACACCGTTCTCAACACTCTAGAGTTCAACTCTACCAGAAAGCGAATGAGTGCCATCATCAGAATGCCTGATGGAAGAATCATACTCTTCTGCAAGGGTGCCGATAGCATAATATATTCCCGCCTTTCTCGCGGTAAGCAAGCTGAACTCAGGAAAAATACAGCTGCCCAACTTGAAGTCTTCGCCAGAGAAGGTCTCCGAACGCTCTGTGTAGGACAACGCATCCTTTCGGAAGAGGAATACAAGGAGTGGAGTAAGGCTTACGAGGATGCTGCTCAGGCTATTGTTGACCGTGACGAGAAGCTTGAGGAGGCAGCAAGCTCCATTGAACGTGAGCTTACTTTACTCGGAGGAACTGCCATCGAAGACAGATTGCAAGATGGCGTTCCAGACACCATTTCCTTGCTTGGAGCTGCGGGTATCAAACTGTGGGTTTTGACGGGCGACAAGGTCGAGACCGCTATCAACATCGGTTTCTCCTGCAACCTGCTGACCAGTGACATGGAGCTAATCGTCTTCAATATTGACCCGGATGACATCGATGCTGCCACCACAGAGATAGACAACCACCTTGCGAATTTCAACCTCACGGGATCTGATGCAGAACTTCTTGCAGCTCAAAAGAATCACGAGCCTCCGGCTGCTACTCATGCTCTTGTTATTGACGGAGAGACTCTCAAATTAATGCTCAGCGATAAACTGAAGCAAAAGTTCCTTCTGTTATGCAAACAATGCAAATCCGTCATTTGCTGCCGTGTCAGTCCCGCGCAGAAGGCTCAAGTTGTTAAAATGGTCAAGGAAGGGCTGAAAGTGATGGCTCTCTCTGTCGGCGATGGCGCCAATGACGTTTCTATGATTCAAGAAGCTGATGTTGGTGTTGGTATTGCTGGTGAAGAAGGACGACAAGCAGTCATGTCTTCGGACTATGCCATTGGACAGTTCAGGTTCTTGCAGCGTTTGATTTTGGTGCATGGTCGATGGTCGTATCGTCGCCTTGCAGAGACTCTTGCAAACTTCTTCTACAAGGTATGTGTTTCCTTTCATTATTTATACCATCGATGCATCGTTCTCTAACTATGGTATAGAACCTTGTCTGGACATGCGCCCTATTTTGGTATTCCATATATAACAACTTTGATAGTTCGTACCTTTTCGACGGTACTTATATCATTCTGGTTAACCTTGCGTTTACCTCGCTACCTGTTATCTTGATGGGCATTCTTGACCAGGACGTTAATGATAAAGTGTCTCTTGCCGTTCCACAGCTTTACAAAACTGGTATCGAGCAGAAGGAGTGGACTCGCACCAAGTTCTGGTATGTCACTCTTTTATCTTTCCTCCCTCTTAGTTTCGAAGTCTTCTAACCATGGGTATACAGGCTTTACATGTTGGATGGATTGTATCAGTCTGTGATCTGCTTCTTCATGACATATCTCCTCTTCCGTCCAGGACAGAACGTCAGTGAAAATGGCCTGGACCTAAGTGATCGTACACGAATGGGTATCTATGTTGCCTCATGCGCGATTGTATGCAGCAATACCTACGTCTTGCTCAATACCTACCGTTGGGATTGGTTGACTGTCCTAATTAACGTTGTGAGCTCACTTCTTCTTTGGTTCTGGACTGGTGTCTACTCTGCTACCACATCGGCGGGTACATTCTACAAAGCAGCATCTGAAGTATATGGAAGTCTGTCCTTTTGGGCTCTCACATTCGTCACTGTTGTCATGTGTCTTGGACCGAGATTCACCATCAAGTCGGTACAGAAGATATACTTCCCTCGGGATGTCGACATTATTCGGGAGCTGGTTACACTCGGAAAATACAGGTATCTTGAGAAATACGAGGCTTACGTTCCCCCATCACACGCATTCGCTGCCCAATCTTCGGGGATCATGCAAAGCAGCAAACCTGCTGCAAAGCGAGATCCAAATCAACCCGAAGAGGAACGTCCCATATACCCCCCTTCTGTTGCACCAACTGCAACAACCCATAACCCACGCAGCCAAAATGGCAGTGACACAACTGCTTACACAGCAAGCCTGGAACTCCGACCTCCAGCGCACCAGTCACTAGAACAAGAGCGCAACCCACCACGAGATCGTGTAAGGCCGTCGATAGATCGCTGCAGATCCTCAGTGGATCGGGTCAGGTCAAGTTTCGAAGCCAGCAGTGACTTCACTTCGGCGGCAATGTTAGCCCGAATTGAATCTAGTCATGTTAGAGGCGACCCCAACAACCATCCTGCCATCCAGGAACATTAAGTGTATATATACGATTCACGTCCATATCGGCTGGCATATACGCACCAGCATCAAAACCTCCTCCTTTAATTCCCCACGGCCCTCGTTCAATGTGCGCACGTATCACGACTTTCCATACTTTTCACTTTCGTACGGTTTTCTTTTCTCTCCCAATAATTCGAAATATCAGCCATTTCAGATACCATTTCCCGCCCTGCTGTCCTCCGCGCTACCTTATCGACCTCCATGTGCATTTTCACTTCATCGTATCGTCCAGCTTCCTCCTTTCCGCTAGGCGTTTGCAATTCCG